AGGGGCTGCAGCCTACGCCGTCGCCGGCGACTCAGGGCAGCCCAGCTCCAGGTTGAGCTGTTGTTCAGCATCTTAGCTGTGGAGGGCAGTGTCATTGGCCCTCATATGTGGGATCCGAACCGGGGCCCTCTGGCGTCCCAAGCCAGTTCTTAACCAACGCACCACTCGGCCGGCCCAACAATCTATTTTATTTAACCCCATATTCCAAAATGGTATCATCTCAATATTGAGATTTGTTCCTTTTTTGTGTGTTTGTTTTCCGGAGCTCATTCTTTGAAATCTAGTGTGTTTTTATAGTTACAACACATCTCTACTTGGACTAGTCATATTTCAAGTGCTCCAAAGATAACATGTGGCCTTGCTTTCCTGTTGGCTAGACTGACCTCAGAGGATGAGGAGGAATACTTGTGGGGGCATGTGTGGGATAGGCTCAGAGTGGGAACGGGGTCAGGGACAGGGAGGAAGAGCTTGGTGCATGGGGGGGTGGGGCTGGGGCGCAGGCCAGTGGAGGGAGGGCAGAGGCGAGAGAGGAGAAGGTAGGGCGCAGGGAGGTAATCGGGGACCCAACGGGCCTACTGAGCTGGACCCCCAAAGCAGCAGAAGCCATGGAAGGATTTGTAAGCTGTGGCTCAACATGATCAGATGGGGCTTTGCAAACACCTTTCAGGACAGATTGTCAAATATTTAGACGGGCTAGAGAAGGGTTTGGAGGGTCGTGAAAGTCAGCCATCCCGTTTCTCTCTCCACTCCAGCTCTTTATTCTAGAGGCGAACAAATAAGCTGACCGGACTGAAAAACTCATGAAAAGCTCCAGGGGCCTCCATGAGGTTGGCTCTTGTCTTTTCATGTTGCTTCTTTCCAGAACCCAGCACAAGCTGAGCCTATAGTACTCACCATCTTCATCATCATCATCATCATTATCATCATCGCCACCAACACCAACACTTACTGAGCCAGACTCTATGCAAAGCCCTTTGTCTACATTATGCCTTTTAAGCTTCTCAACAACTCGACCAGGCAGGGATTATTATTATTTGCATTTTACAGATGAGATAACACAGGCTCCGTTAAGGTACATGACAGGCACACAGCCGCAGGGCCACGCCACGGACAGTGGCGGGGCCTGACCCAGCTTGTGGGGCTCGGAGTTTCTGCAGGGCCTGGAGGAAGCTGTGGCCGGGCTTGTTCTGGACGATGAGGAGAGAACTGTCTGCCTGTCTGAGAGCAGCGCCGGGAGGGAGCAGAGGGCTGCCTTCCTCTTCCCTTTTCGAACTGAGTGAGTGATCTTTTCTGATCAGCGCTGCTTTGTTGCAGAGTCCCCCTGAGGCTCGCAGGACTCTGAAACCCAGAGGGTCATCACTTGCCCTCATCCCTGTTCATTTCACAGCCTGTGCCCGTCTTTAGAGAGCCATATGCTCTCAGCTAGAATGCCCTTTCTGTCCCATATTTCATAAGTGAGTGACTTGCACAGCTTCCTTCTCAGCTGGGTTCACGACTGTCTGCCGCCTTTCCCCTCCCCTGCCTTCCTCCTAACATCTTCCTTCCTTTCTGTTTTGCCAGGTCTTCTTCGTGCCCTCAGACCCTTCACATTCATTCTCACAGTCACCTCCTGAGAGGTGAGGCAGACGAGGCCATTGCACAGATTACACCGGAGGCCAGAGAACCCACTCCTTTCCTCCTCCCCTCCCCTGCTCCCCCGCACCTACGCTCTGCTCTGAGCTTCATAACCAACTGTCCTTTCCCCACAGCCCTGGATGTCGGCACTTGGATGTATCCTGCTGGCTTAATTTAAAAACCTTTCTAAGTGGTATCTGTTCCCAGGGAGATTCAGCTTTCATTATATGAAAAAGACCCTCTCACCAATTCCCTTCCTTGCCTTTTTTTCAAATACAGCAGCAGCTGTGTCCCTTGAATGAGGATCTTTTTTCCAAATGCGTTTGCATTGAATTAGCCACACCTATATTCTGTGTGTGTGTGTGTGTGTGTGTGTGTGTGTGTGTTCACACGCACGTGCATCTATGTATATGAAGACACATGCACACATTCGGATTGCCCGAACACAAAATCCCATGTGCTGAAATAACGTTTGTGATATAAATGAATGAAATTTCTTTATGAAGCACTGTACTTAGAGATCGGCCTCTCTCTCTCTCCTCAGTTCCAATTCTTCCAAACATTTCTTCAACTGGCTGCAAAGAAGGCAGGTCAAAAGTATCTGAGAAATCCCTGGTCTACGGCATGTCTGCTCTTTATTTTAAACCATCTTAAACGTATCCTTATCATAGCCAACGCCTTCCAGTATTCTAAAGGCCTTTGTGGCATAAGCAATTTCTCTATTCCATGGTGGCTTATCTGACAGTTCCCCATTTACCTTCTACTTATTACTGCACTCGACTTTGAATTTTAAAACCCCACTGTGGGCTTAAAGTATCTTGAAGGACGAAATCAGAAACCTAGATTAGCAATTACTATAAACCCGCAAGAAAGTAAGTTTTCTTTTTTTCTATGTGGGCCAAAGTGAAGACTTGAGGCTCAATTGTAATGTAAATGCATCATATAATGAAGCTGATATCCTGGAAAAGCGTCTTTATCTTTCACTCAACTCTCTGCCTGACTTCACCATTTCATTCTCACTAACTGAATATATTCCTAGGACGATGCCTTTTTTATCTGAGTTCTGGGGAAATGCTTGGACATTAAACCTCATTTAGGCTGAATGAAAATTCACTTTTTTACTGCCTTCCCTCTCATCTCCTTTTCTCAGCTTTAATCTAGCGCAGTGGTGCCAGGATCTATGTCATACTATCTGAATGCCTGTGCCTCAGGAGCTCTGTGCCCCAGGCGAAGGCCACCAATGTTCACTCTGACAATGGAGAAAACCAGGATGGGCCTCTTGGCTCTGATTCTCAGGAGGAGAAAGAGGCAGCTGCTGATGTGACACCCAGGCGTCAGCTTCAGTGATGGGGCCCCTTGGATGGGCTTGCCCCTCACTCCCCAGGAAACCCTGCAACCCCCCAAGTTCCCCTCTTTCTCCCCCGTCTCGGCCGCACCTGATCTGTGTGTTCTGAGCAGTCTGTTCATTTCTGCTCAGCAAGGCTGCGCTCCGTGGCTCGTTTTGGCCAAACATCACAACAGCAGTCGCAAACACTGTATAAATGCACCACGTTCCAAGCCCTGTCCTGGGCACTCGATCAATAATAATTCATTTATTCTCCTCAACCAACCCTGTGAAGTCAATACTAGTATTCTTCCCATGCTACAGGCGAGGACACTGAGGTTCCAAGAGGTGATTGACTTGCCCAATGTCACATAGCTAGTTGATGGTAGACCAATTTATAGATGAAGGGTGTCTGTGCCCTTAACCAGCTGGCCACACTACCCAGGCCCCTGGGCACTGATTCTTCCGGGCTCCCTGCCAAGTACACACATGAATATTTTCACATGGTCTTCTCTACAGGTTGGCCTTGTTATTGCATTTTTATAAGATACATCCAAATCACATAGCTAGTGAACATAGGAGCTAGACAAGTCTATTTCCTCATTCAGCAGACATTTATTGAGTATCTAATATGTCCTGTGCTCAATGCCACTGATAACAGTGGTGAGAACAGACATGGTCTTTACTCTCAGGAAGTTCTTGGTGGGAGAGGCAGACGTTTATTAAACAATTCCACAAATATAGACACTGTTGCAAAGTTGGGTGAGAAGACAGAACACAAGCCAATGTGGGGTGTCTGACCGAGCTGGAGGTGGGGGTGGGCGTGTGGTGGGGGCTTTTCTCATCACATCCGTCCAATGGCACCCATCCAGGGGAAGCCAAGTGGTAATGGGGGGGCGTTGGGGTGCAGCAAAAAAAACACTATTATCAACCAAGAAGCAGTGTGAGCACAGGCCTGCCAGTGAGGGAAGCAGGATGAGTTTGTGACACCGGAACCAGGCCCACGTGGCTAGCATGGCAACACCGCGGGCAGGGGCACCGGCCTGCCTTGAAATGAGGCAGAAGAAATGAGAAGCTGTAGTTCCTCGGACCCCAAAGCGATGTCTGCGCCCCCACTCTCCCACGGACCATACTATTAGAGCAGATTCGTAGTAGTGAATTGCACTTCTCTTGTTTCATAAAGCAGTTGGTAAAAGCATGTTTTCCAAATCTCAGAAACGGTTTGCATTGCAGACAGGCATCATTTCAAATATCCCTGTGATTTACCATCACAAACGTATTTCATCAGGGCCCGGTTTGCAAAGCAGATCATGCAGGTGAAAAGCCTCGTAAACACCGCAGTGCTTTACACACAGCAGTGTTATTATCTTTAATAACAGGGCTCATTGAGGAGGATGCATGCGCCTCTTGCTGGAGTTAATGTATGTAAAGTGTTCAGAATGGTGCCTGGCTCTGGGTAAACAACCATCTACGTGTTAACGTGTTTTTACTGTTCTGCCTCCTTTCTTCCTCTCCCCAGGCTTGGTCTGAGGTGCACCCGTGCATCATGAAAACCAGTTTACGTGTCCGCACCCTTCTCTTTCAGGCCAGAACAAAATCTGCTTCATCCCGGGCATGGTGGGACCTATATTAGAGATGACACTTATCCCTGAGGCTGAGCTCCGCAAAGCCACCATACCAATCTTCTTTGACATGATGCTGTGTGAATATCAAAAGAGTGGGGATTTCAAAAAGGTAAAAAAAAAAAAACGAGGCTGGAAACTCATTCCAGCATCCCTAATCCCCAGCCCATTTCCCCATAATGATATCCTGGTTCCATCTGCCTGGGCTCCATTCAGAGGCCTGACTGGAGGATGGGGACATTTATTCATGCACCAGCAATGAGCTGGCAGATCGGATTTGGGCAGTATTCTATCACGCTTTCCTGCCCGAGGCCAAGATTAAAATGTGCTTTCTTGCTGTGTATTAGCTTGGTCCCTTTCTCACCAATGTCAAACTCCTACCGCCCAACCTAAGGGATCCCCAAGGCTGTGCAAAGGCCTCCCCTCCCACTGCCCTGATCTCGCCCCGCCTCCGTCTGGCACTTCTGAGATCACTTAGAAGGTGTGTATTATCTAGAAAGAGCTGACCCTGCCATGTGTCACAGTCAGCCGTGCATGAATCAAAGGTGACAGCAAATGGAGCTGGAGCCCGGCTCTCAGGGGCACCTGTGGCTCAGGCGTGGGAACAGGCGGCTTTCCCCAGCCTGCAAGGAGGGGGCAGCTTGTGTGACGCCGGGCTCATTGGCTGAGTATTTTCATTGAAAATCCTGTCAACCTTGAAGGATGAGGACCATTTTCTGGGCTCAGTCACTCTAGAAGCTTCTGACCGTGGAATAAGCACCCCTTTCCACAGTAGGTTCCTCATGGTTTCGGCGCTTTCACCCGGCAAAGGAAAGTTGGTCTGTAAGCCCGTCAGGCTGCTTTAGTGGTTCCCTCAGATCCCCCTTGGGTCCTCTCCGCCCACCTTCTCACCTGGTTTCACCCCTAACAGGCCCCTCCCCCCTCCCCCAGCGTTGCTGCCTCTCCTTCTCTACCAGATCCTGCCACCACGTATTTTTCCTTAAAGCCGGCACATAAGGGGCAGCAGGTTCCACGCAGCTCTTCCTGAAACTCCTTAGGGATCTGACCCCTCCTTTGTCCTCACCCAGTAGAGGCCAAGCCTTCCAGCCTGCATTCAGGGCCCTCCTTCCTGGGACCTCCAGCGGGACTGTTCAGCCACTTTCTCCACCTCTTTCCCCACCCACCTGTTCCCCAGCCGTCCCCGCAGCGCCCGCCTGTGAAGGGCATTGCCTCAGCGAGCGAGCGCCCACCTTTCTGTGTTTCTTCTTCCTGCTACTTCTCTGCCACAATCAGAGTCCAACACCTTCTAAATTCCTACTGACCCTGCAAAGCCCTTCCCGATGCTACGTTGTTTTATCTGCCCGAGGTATGATTACTATATACTACCCGGCATTATCCTCATTTCTGTGCATTTTCCCGTGTCCCCCTCATCCTCCCCTAATAAAAGCCTAACAGGAAGTTAGACTGAGGGGCTGGGGGTTGAGGGTGGGGAGGAGGGGGCTCCAGGGCACGCTCCTTTCTGCTCCGAGTTTGTTTGGCGACCTCATTGCCAGATTGTCCTGTCTCCTCCTGTCACCCAAATTAGATAGCTGATGCCTCTGACTGATAACCTTTACCCTTGGTGAGTACGGCGCTTCCCTCCAGACTACCTGTGGACAGGCAGATTCAGCAAGAGGGGCCTCGGGTGGGCCTCACTGGCTGGCACAGCTGTGCCCCAGCCAGCGTGAAATGCTTCTCGTCCTGCATGGAGCTCAGGCATATCACCCGGCCTCAGCACAACGATCAGCTCAGAGGTCTGTCTCCATCGCGAGACTGTGAGCTCTTTGAGGGTCAGAGCTGGCCTCCGCCCTGAACGCCTCACCTCTGTCGCATGCCTGACATGTATGTGGTGGGTCCCACATCAGTGTTCCCAGGATGAATAGAGGCGTTTCAACCCCATCCTGCCACATTTCACAGGGCGAGCCCGGGCACAGGGAGGAGCTTCCCAGTAAATGTTTTTATAACACAGGGCGATGAGAATGGATGGCCTCTGCCTTGGCTGTTGCAAAGGTTAAATGAGATTGTCAACAAAGTCACGATGGTAAGCGCTAGCAGAAATTGAGCACTTACGATGTGCCAAGTGACAAGCTGGCCTTTTGACGTGTGTTTTCCATCAACTTCTCCCAGCACCACTATAAAGTAGGTGCTGTATTAAATCTCCATTGAATAGATGAGAAAACTGAGCCTCAGAAAGGTTTATCAAGTTGCCCAAGGTCACTTGGCAGGGAAAAAGGTCAAAGCAAGACTCAAACCAAGCCTGTTTGAGGCCCAGGGCTGTGGTCGTAGCTACTGCTAAGTGCAGCCCCTGCCCAGGAGCAGCAGGGCCCATCTGCTGGGGGATACGCTTGACTGAGACCTTCACTCCCCAGCCCTCCCCGGAGGGCTCAGGCGTGGTGCAGCGTCACTCAGCTCTGCGCATCCCCTGGCACCGTCTCATTTCCCTCCCCGCAGGCGCTTTTGTGACCCTGAGACAAGTGCTTATTTGCCCCATCACTTCCCTGCTCCAAAGGCAAGTTCAGCTCAGGCAGAGGAATCGTGCCAGCATTCACCACTGAACAACCCAGACAAGAAAAGGTGCTGGTTTTCTCCCCCAGAGCTGCTTTCCGGTAACATCCAGCAGTCATAACAATAACATCAGCAGCAGTCCTAAGTGGCCGAGCAGCCCCGGTGCGAACTTCAGCTTGTGCTTTATATATGGAACTGCCCACCCCATGCGGCGGGTACCACTATTATGCCTATTATCTCGACAGGGGGCCTACAAACGGTGGCCCTGCAGGCCCAGCGTGTCCTGCCACCTGCTTCTGTAAACAGTTTTATTGGCGCCCAGCCCTGCCGATTTGTATCATCTACAGCCACTTTTGTGCTGCTACAGCAGAGCTAAACTAGTTACTCTCCGGCCCTCTACAGAAAATGTTTGCTGACCACTGGTGCAAACTATGAAACTGAGCATTAGAAAGACCTGCTAGCTTCCCCAAGATGGTGGAGGGGATGGAGGAGACAATTAAAGCAGGCAGCCTAACAGCAGGCCCACTCTTGTAGGCCCTCGGTGGTATTTCTTCCTGCCCCAGGCCCAGCAGAGTCGACATCTCTAGTCAGGAGAGCCCTCACCCCTCGACTTTGGAGAATACTTGACACATAAAAATGCACCAGATAAGGAGCGTGACCTATGGCAGACTGGCAGCCCAGACCCTCGCCGGCTTGGCCCCCGTCTAGGCCTCTGCTCCTCCTTCCTCTCTGTCTTGGTCTCTGCTCCACCTGAACCACGCTCTTCATGTTTCTCCACACTCCCACCCTCACACCTTTGCTCATTCCATTGCTTTTCATATTTATCACAGTCCCATCCATCTTCCAGGCCTTGTGCATCTCCTCCCATAAACCTTCCTCAGGTGGAAACTCACAGGAAATTCTTTCTTGTTGGCGCTGCATCAGCACAAGCTCCTGGTTCTTTCCTTTGCTCCCTGGCACACAAAAGTGAGGGAACGGTGGCATGGCGGGTGGTCCGTGAACCAGGGGAGAAGTGAGTCCAGCCCGTGCCTTTCATCACCTCAAGATCCCAGTCAGCTAGACTGGGCTTGGTCCTTTGTGTCCTGGAAGGAGCCGTTCTTCTGAGACAATAGACGAGCCGCTGAAACTCTCAGAGCCTCTACTTCTTCATCTGGTATCGTAACTGACACCGAGGGTGGTACCAAGCAGAGGCTGGCTGCTTTTCACGCAGTGTCACATTTGAAAGCGATCCTGACCTCCAGACCTCGTGGCGTTATTGAGAGGACTGAGGGTTAAGAGGCTGCGTTAGGAGCTAGAGCTACCCCAGGGCTCCCTTGGCCTTGGTGATTGTCGCCAAAGGCCCCCTTCCCATCTCCAGGTGCACGTGTCTTGTTTGGTGATAAAATGGGAGATGAGTGGACTGACTGCGTGATCTGGATGGACTCAGCAGGGTGTGATGTTGAAACGGTGCAAACCAGTTTGCTTTACAGTCATGTAAAAGACACCATACGGACCTTCAAAATGTTGTTGAATAAGCCATGAACTCAATGGGGTGAAATGCTTCTTGACATTGAAAGTGGGGAGACAGAGCACTCTGTGACTTCCGCGCTACAAAGTTTGGTAGAGCTGTAGGTGCAGACTTATTTTCAGGTCACGTAGCCAGTCTGATCTCTGATTACCCATTCCAGTTGTCACCAGCATTGACCCTCTGAGGCACCAGCTGATGTAAATATGACAGCGTCAGGTATGGCTTGATCCAGGGGCTCAGCAGTGGCATCAGGTTTCAGTCTTTCTCCATCGCCTCCTCTCTGCTGTCCTCGGTATTGGTGCCATCCTCAGGCAGGCTCTGTCACTGTGGCCATCTCCAGCAGCCTTGGGCTTACAACCTTCAATCTTCAAGTAAAGCAGAAAGACTGTTTGCTAAGAGTTCCAGCAAAGCCTCAGATTTGAGTCTCACTGGCTTTGGGCCTTTCTTTACCCTCGAGTCCGGATGATGAAAGATACTGATTAGGAGCTAGGCCTGTGTCATGTGCTCACACCTGGAGCCACCTGAGTCCCATAGACTGAGATTCGGGCTGGTGTGGTCACCAACATGTGGAGAAAGGAAGACCAGGCAGGCAGAAGTAGCAGCTGTCCACGACAACACGCCACTCCCTGGAGATGCGATGCCCTGTCACATAACCTCCGTGCCTTTGCACATGCCGTGCCCTGTGCTTTGATCACCCTGTCCCTTTTCCTGCAAAATTTCTACATAAACTTTGAGAACACGCTCAGATGTCATGGGCCGTGAGTCTTCCCGGCTCCTCTCTCTCTCTCTCATGCCCATCGCTCTGCTGCAGCATTTATCATCGATTGCCCCTCTTTACTTTCCGGGGCCTCCTAAAAGGCAGGCATAGCACCCCGTTCCGTTTTGCATTCCCTGTTCCCAGCACTAAGCCTGGGAGATGATGGTGCTCCCTAAAGCTTTGGTTAAAACGGACTAATTTCAATAGATAGCCGTCTAATGTTGTCATTGCTGATTTTCATCTCCACTTTCTTCAGTTTGAAAACGAAATCATCCTCAAGCTGGACCACGAGGTGGAAGGGGGCCGAGGGGATGAACAGTACATGCAGCTGCTGGAGTCCATGTGAGTGCGGTGCGCAGTGTGGGGCGGGGCGGGGCGGAGGTCGGCCCGAGGCCGGGCAGCTCGGGACTCCGGGGGACTCGGGAGGCTCTGTTGATCCCTGGAGACCAACCTGGAGGCTCATGGGTATTGCAAAAACTCCGGTTTGGGAAGAAGAAACCTCACATCCCTCTCTGGCGTGGCTATTTCTCTGATAGTGATGGAATGAGCCAGGTGAAAAGAAAGCTTGCTGTGTTGGGAGGAGGGACATAATCCACCAAAACGTTCATTTTGGTTCTCTCTCAGCTGCGGAATGGTTGTTGCTCTGTTTTTCTTTTTACTTTTTCAGTCTTTGACCAAAACTGGTCACGAGCGACACATGTGGCTGCCACGCCCATGCTCTCTCTGTTTTGTCTCCTTTAGCCGAGTTTGCACTTTGATCCCCATTTCACAGAGGTGGCCCCTGAGGCTCAGGAAGTCTCCTGTCCCGGGAAACTAGGATACCTCAGTGAGTAGACAAGCTGAGACCCAAACTGGCTCTGCAGACCCCAGTGAGTGCGCAGGGGCCGAGGACAGGACAGTGGACGTGGAGTCAGCACATCGTTTTAACAGCTTATCATTCGCATACCATCCGAGTCACCTAAGTGTACAATTCAGTGACTTGTAGTGTGGTCATACCATCCAGACCACAATCAATTTTAGAGCCTTTCAGTTACATTTTGAAAGAACCCGGTACCCCTTACCCCTTAGCTATCATCCTCCCTCCCATCCCCTGCCTGCTTTCTGCCTCTGTAGGCTTGTCTATTCTGGACGCTTCTTATAAGTGGAATCCTACAGGACATGGTTCTTTGTGTCTTTCACGTAGCGTGTTTTCAGGGTTCATCCATGCTGTAGCATGTGTCAGTACTTCTTTCTTTTTATTGCCAAGTAATAGTCCACTGTTCAGATATACCCCGTTTTGTTTCTTCATTCAACTGTTGATGGACATTCATCCACTTCCCCTTTTGGCTCTTAGGATGATGCTACTTGAGCATTCAGGTCCACGTTTTCGTGTGGACATATGTTTATGGTTCTCTTGGGTATGTGTATACCTAGGAGTGGAATTGCTGGGCTATGTGGTGACTCTGTGTTTAGCCTTTCGGGGAACCATCAGACTGTTTTTCAAAAGTGGCTGCACCACTTACATCCCTACCAGCAGTGCGTGAGGGTTCCAGTTTCTCCGCGTCTTCGCAGCACCTGTTAATATCTGTCTTACTGATTTTAATGGCCTGCCGTGTGGGTGTGAAGTGGTGTCTCACTGTGGTTTTGATTCACGTTTCCTTGATGACCAGTGATGTTGAGCATCTTTTCACGTGCATATCGGCCATTTGTATGTCTTCGGAGGACATTGGCTTTTATTCCTGGTTCCACGGCTTAGCAGCTGCACAACTTCGGGCCAGTCATGCAACATCTTTGGCTTGTTGTCCCGATCTGTAAAATGGGGATAATAGGCCTCCTGTGGTTACTTTGAAGACTAAGTAACTTAAAGCATCTGGCTTTAAATTACACAACAAGTAAAAAGCTCAATAAATGGACTTAGAGCTCTGACTCTCGCTTTCCCTCCCTCTCTGACGCCATGGTAATTGCCACCTGCCCCCCTCCCCCCAAACATCTCCCCAGGTTTAGGGATGTGGCTCAGACATCGCAAATTTCCTCATTGTAGATTCTTTGATTTGTATCATTCTCCAGCATAACTCTGAGTTTGGCTTCTTCCCCCAATCTTCTTTGAATATTGTAACTTTAACAAGAGCAAACTAAAGGCCTTGCTCTAACCCTCACAGTGCCCCCCCCTCCACAGCCCTGCTCAGTGGAGCTTCAGGTAGCGCTATTCCCGTCCCCATCCCCCTGTTGTCACTGTGCACGGCCCTCACTACACACCTGGAATGCAAATGCCACCTGGCCAGAAGGGCAAGCCCACCTTCTGCTGCTTAGGTGGGTATTGAGGCTGATGGTCCAGGGGAAAAAGTGACATTTTGCCTGAGTCAACGTTTATCTTAAAGTTCTCGAAAGGAAAAAATCTAAATATTGACCAGAAGTGAAACTGTGTATCCTGCCGGCAATTTCCATTTTTATAGGCGGTTGGGCCTCTGTGGCAGTCTTGAGGTGATCAGCAGGATTTTCAAATCCTTCCTGAGTGATTATTTATAAAAGGAGCCCTTAGAGGTCAAGGAAATGAAAAACAGCTCATTATTTTTCTCCCGAGATAGAAGTGTGAATGATTTTCTACAAAACCCATCAAGTGCAACTTAAGGAGCCAGGACCCCACCAGAATGTCCAGTGACCAAGTCGCTGCTCCTTCCTTTGAACTTTCTGATTCTCAGTTTCTTTCTCTGCAAATTGGGGATAAAAATACTCTCCAGCTCATAGGGTTTTTGTTGAGAGTAACCAAGAGAAGCCATGTAAAATGCTTAGCACCGTTTCTGACGCCTCGTAGGTAGTCCAGAAATATTAGCTATTATGAACTTCGAAGTAGATAGTGATGTGGTGATTTAAAGCCATAAGCCCACCTGTCTTTGTTCCTCCGGGCTAGTCATCCTCAGTTCCTCCAGCCCTTCCACGTCTGTCTTAAAGTGAGGATCCCATATTGGATGGAGTAATAGACACACTCTACCCTCCTGTATTTCGTCTGCTTGGGAATATTTCTAGAAGGGAGGGGCCTGAAAAGCTAAAGGGGACAGAGAATGTGTGTTCTGGGGCCTGGGTCCACCCAGCCAGTTCAGTGCCCAAAAGAGGACCTGTCATAAGAGACACTCCATTTTAAAGGAATAAACAAAAAGCCCAGTTCTGTTAGCACTGATGGAGAGTGGGGCCTGGGCTCCTTCTGAAGGCCTCCCATGCTGAATGCAAATCAATTTGAGGGGCGAGCTCCCTCCAGCCCCCCGCCCTCCAAGGCAGGGTCCGAGACTCTGCCATCCCTCCTTCCACTGAGTGACAAATTATCTGCATCTCCTGGATATCCCCACAGCTCTTTTTCATTGTCACTTATACTCCATTGCGGGACTCAAAGGAGTGGAATAGCTGTGTGACCGTTGCAGGACCAAGATCAGAGCCTAGCCCCATGTCCCTCGTACTTCATCTACAAATTGAGAGTTTTCATTATTCCTACCTAAAGGAGATGGTGTGAGTAGTAAATAAGAAAATCAATAAAGCAGGCTTAGCACAGCATCTGGGACTAGGTAGTACCCAGGAAGTGGTAGTGCCCCTGTGTATTATGGGAAGTTTCTACACCCACTTCCCGCGCTGGATTGTGACCCCCTGGAGGTCCGTGAACCCCTAGTTTCTAGGGCAGTACATGTTTAGTGGATAGATGGATGGTGGATGGATGGATGATTTCAAACCAGTCTGCCCATTCGTCTCCTAACCCTAGGCCATAGGAGCAGCTTTCCGACCTCTGGCCTAAAGAATAGAGAAACTAACAAAGCCAAGACTTTGTTCTTCTAAGCCCTCATTTCTCAAAAGACCAACAGCATTAGCCTCACAAGACTCTCAAGCCCTAGCCAGACCTGCTGAATCAGAAGCGATGCCCAGGTTTCCCCATGCACATTGAAGTTTGCAAAGCAGTGGGCCAAGCCAGTTGTTCATAATGCTGGCTGCACGTCAGGATTACCTGGAGAACTTGGAAAGTAAAATATCGCTACCTGACTCCCACCCCCTGAGATACAAAGTCACTGACCGAAGGTGGGCACTGAGCTTTGCCAAAGCCCCCTGGGAATTCTAACATGTGGCCAGGGCAGAGGACCACTGGTGTGGCCCCGCTCAGGCCCTGAGATGCCTTCGGCGCTGGGAGGCTATGAGAGAGCACACCCCAAACACTGAGGTTGCATTGTCATTAGGGTAGGAGCAGGTGATACGACCATCCCAGAAGGAGTCAGGCTCAGCTGTCACTGCGCCAGACAGGCCTAAATCACAAGGCAATTTGCATCCCGCTTTGAGAGCTGGGAAACAGGTGCTTCTCCCACCGTGAAGATGGATTTGTCTGATCACAGCCGCAGTTTGAGACGTCGCCTCCTTGCAGCCAGACTTGGCTTCTGGGAGGGAATGACCCTCCAAAATCCTTGCTTTTTTCACCTTTCCTTTCCTGGGAGCTCTTGGGACTTCAGCTGCGATAGGGAGACTAGCCAGAAACAAGTGGCCTGGGTGATGCTTGTCTGCTCGAGATGTCTGAGAATACACTGCAACATTCCTCTGTGGGAAAATACAGAACGATGATTGTCTTGATTGTCAAGGTCACCGCTAACTACCAGAGTGATGTTGGCAAGGTCATTTAACTCCTCTGAGCCCTGATTTCCTCCACTGTAAAATGAAGGGTATTTTTTTGTTACTTATCAGAATTACTGTGATGGTTTCTTAAGAAAGAGTGACTAGTACAGAATAAATGATTAATAAGAAGTAATCATTTATAAAAAATTTAATCCACCTGTCTCTCCCCATGTAGCCTGTGGGCTGTAGGTATGATTTTTTTTTAATTAGATTTATCGGGGTGACAATAGTTAGTAAAATTACATCAGTTTCAAGTGTGCATTTCTATAATACATCATCTATATATCACACTGTGTGCTCACCATCCAGAGTCAGTTTTTCCATGACCAAATATTTGACCCCCTTTACGCCCTTCTACCAGCCTCTCTCCCACCTTACCCTTTGGCAACCACTAAACTTGTGTTTGCAACAACATGGATGGATCTTGAGATTATTATGCTAAGCGAAGTAAGTCAGGCAGAAAAAGTCGAGAACCATATGACTTCACGCATATGTGGGAGATAAAACTGAAAGTCACAAAGGAACAAGGCAAACAAACAAATAAAAACTCAGACGCATGATTCTTTTCGATATTTCTTCTTTTCAAATTTTATATCTTTCTTCCCATCCCCACACAATGCCTAGCAACTAACAGGTGCTTAAGGAATCTTACATTTTTAATTTTTGTTTTTGAAATGTAGAATATTGTGGTTTTTATTTGCATTTATCTGATGATTAGTGATGTTGAGCATCTTTTCATATGTCTGTTGGCCATCTGTTATGTCCTCTTTGGAGAAATGTCTATTCAGGTCCTCTGCCCATTTTTTAATTGGGTCGTTTTTTGTTGTTGTTGTTGTTGAGTTGTATGAGTTCCTTATATATCTTGGATATTAGCCCCTTATCAGAGGCGTTGTTTGCAAAAATCTTCTCCCATTCAGTTAGTTGCCTTTTTATTTTGTTGATGGCTTATTTTGCTGTGCAGAAGCTTTGTCATAAGAAAAGATGAAATAGTGCTATTTGTGACAACATGGATAGATCTTGAGATTATTATGCTAAGTGAAATAAGTCAGACAGAAAAAGTCAAGAACCATATGATTTCACTGATATGTGGAATATAAAACTGAAAGCAACAAAGGAACAAGACAAACAAAGAAACAAAAACTCATAGACACAGATAATAGTTCAGTGGATACCAGAGGGTAAGGGGAGAGGGGAATACTAGAAGGGGGTAAAAATGGTCAAATAGATGGTGATGGAACGACAACTGACTCCATGTGATGTATAGATGATGTATTACAGAATTGTACACTTGAAACCTATGCAATTTTACTAACCATTGTCACCCCAATAAATTTTAATTAAAAATAAAAGAAATACATTTAGACTATCAATATTACAGCAAATGTAAAATTTTTAAATATCAGATGCATGTTTAAAGTGAAAATTGAACATTGCCGTCCTCTGCTCCTCCACCTAGACCCTTTGTCAGAAGCAACCACCATTAAGAGGTTGGTGTTCAGCCTTCCTGCACATTTATAAACACACAGACACATGATACAGATGTGTCACATGGTGTTCGGTGGTTGAGAGCACAGATGCTAGAGCCAGACTGTTGATATTTACCAACTGCGTATGTGACCTTGGCCACGTGAATTGAGCTCTCTGTGCCTTAGTTGTCCCACATGCAAACATACCATCTCATAAGACTGTGATAGGAGATGAAATGAGTTAAGATTTGTAACACATTTAGAATAGTGCCTGGGACATGGTAGGCTCTATGTGAATTAGTTAAATAAAAAACAAATATTGTTCTGAGACTTGCTTTTCTCAACTATATATTTTGTACAGCTTTTTGTGTCAAAACATGTTGATCTCTCATACTTTTTAATGGCTTCATAGTATTACATTTTGTGAATGCGCTTTAATTTATTGGGTTGTCAGAAAAGCCATGACATATTTTTTCTATGTTTTTTTGTTGCAGAAATGCGTCATGACTTTTCCGACAACCCAGTATTTAACCATTTGCCTATTTGATGGAAATTTAAGATGGTTCCAACTATTTCACCATTAGACATAATTTATAAGTATTATAAATATATCCTTGCGTACTTCTGGGAATATTTCTGTAAAATAGATTCCCTGAAGTAGAATTGTTGGGTCAGAGGATATATATATACATTTGCAATTTTGACATTGTGACAATCGCTACACCAAAAAGTTGTACTGATTTTCTCTCGATTTGGGTACGTCACAGTGACCATTTCCCCCACACCATTGCCCACCCTGAAAATTTACTTTTATTTTCATTTTTTCCCGTTTTGATGGTGGGGGAAAAAAATTACAGTTGACCTTGAGTAACGTGGGTTTGAGTTGCATGGGTCCATTGATCTGCAGTCCATTGAACTGCTGTATGGGCAAATAAGTTTACAAATGATAAGTGATTGACTAAATTAAACAAATGAGCCCATGAACCAGGGAGCTGGGAGTCCCTGGATTATTTGGCTTGTGCGCCCCCCCGGACCCCCCCCACTCCCAGCCCCCAGCATCCTCTTTCTCCCCTGGCCTTGAGCTCACTGCCCCCGTCTGTGCCCGCAGCCTGATGGCGTGTGCTGCTGCGCACCCAACCATTTCCAAGTGTGTGGAGAACTTCGTGAACCTGGTCAAAGGCCTCCTGGAGAAGCTGCTGGACTACCGGGGCGTGATGACGGACGAGAGCAAAGACAACCGCATGAGCTGCACCGTGAACCTGCTGGTGCGTGGGACTGGCCTGCTCGCCCCTTGGTCCGCTCAGACTGCAGTCCTGGGGGCGGGCCTGGCTTTGGGGCTCACTCTTGCTCCTGATCAGGAAGCAGCGCTAAGGGCTTTGGAAGTCAGACAGACGTGAGATCGCACCCCTGTTCTGCTAATCCCTCCACCTTCCCGTGCCTGTTTCCTGACATGGGACATGGGAGTGAGCCTTCTCGTTAGCAGCTAACACGTCACATGGAAGGAAGGCGGCACTAGAACGTGGTTAAGACTATGAGCTGTGGAGTCACACAGCCCATGGGTTCTTACCCTGCCTCTGATCATTAATAGAATACACAAGTCAAGGGCGTTTTCTGAAGGTTTAGTTTGCTTATCTATGCCATGGGGGAAATAACAGCACCTGTTTCATGGTCGTACAGCCCTGGCCCGTGGTTAAATGCTCACTATGTGGTAGTTTCCTTCTCAGACAGAATAAAGTAATACCAGTCCTTACAATTTACAGAAAATGGCTATGGGACTAACCAGAGCAGCTAATCTCAAACCCGGGCTCTTAACCCATGTACCACAGGACCTGCCCCAGGCCGGGTCCCAAACAGGCTCCCTTCCTATGTCCTGTGATGTCACAAGACAGGTAGTAACAGCCACGGTGCTTCGTACCCACCATGTCACCACCCTCACCCCCCAAAGTGGTTTAAAGGAATAAAGTTGGCCAAAGACCATGCGGCAGCCACCACAGCAAGCTCCCTGCCATTCCCAGTGTCCCAGAAATACTGTACAGACTCCGTCCCCATATTTCTGTAGTGCGGCTTCAGTTTCCTTTTTAACAGCCTCCATACCTATTGCCATTGATTCTCTAAAATGCTACAAGGCAGTTAAAAACCCTGGTTACAGCAGAAAGGAAGCCACTGCGCATAACTCCGCCAGGCCCAATTTACACACAGAGCATGAAGGGGGCGCTGCCGGGAGTTCAGCAGTTTATCTCTATGTAAAGAGGCAGGCGTTGGTATAGAAATTGACCTACACCGGTCAGACTGACCAGGGAGAAAGCTCAGACAGGCAGCTCTAGAAGCAGTGAGCCCCTGCTAGCATTTGGTGCCGGGATGGTACGGGGAAGGAGGACAGGATGGTGGAAGTAGGGGCGGAGGGGCCAGCACTGCTAAGGTCTAGTGCAGCTCTGTGACCCAGTGACTGCCCTGGGCACATCACCGCCACTCTGAGTCTCAAGTGCAGGGTGGGCACTGGAATAAACTAGGGCTTTCCCAGGATGGCTCTGCATTTGGAGCATGACCCCCTGGCTGAAAATCTGTAAAGACTTCTTTGAAAATGCATGGAATTCGGATCTCTGGTGGTGGAGCCCAGGACGACTGCTGGTCTGAATGAGCCCTGTGCTGGAATGGGAATCGGGCTTCTTCGCTTTGCCCGGTTTAAATGTTTCTCATGTAAACATGTGGAACCTCATTCTAACTCCTAACCGTTCTGCACTGTCAGGACTTATGACCTGTCACCATCCCTGGGATCTATCAGGATTACTGTTCACTCTGACGATTGCTATTCCTCTGGTCCGCCTGAGCACAGGGTCTGAGCTTTCGAAGGTCAAGCTGGTCTGCCTCTGTCAGTAGCCTCTGTCAAAGCAGAACGCCTCAGTCTTGGCAGCCCCCGTCTCAGCGCAGTACACAGCTCAGCTGCACCCCTGATATGCGACGCTGAGATACTTCCTCTGTCCCTTCATCGTCTAAGGATCAGGGAAGTGACTTTCAAGGCAGAATCTCCTAATGAGGCTGTTGGATGCATTCAGGAAAGCACATTTCTTGCTGTCTCAGGGCCTGGAGGTGGTAAATAGCAACCTTCCTCTCATCTCCCTCACTACACCCTCCACCCCTGCCGCTCTGCCGAGAAAATCGCTCATCACTGTTTCCCTCCCCTCCCTAGAATTTCTACAAAGATAACAACCGGGAAGAGATGTACATAAGGTAAGATTTTTGTTCTCTAAAACCCAGACCTGCTGTGTCACTCTCCTGCTCAATATCCATAGATGGCTCCCCACTGTCTTCAGGATACAATTTAAACCTATCTTCTTGGCACTCAGGCCTCTGTGTACTGATCCCCAACAGTCTCCCCAGATTCAGCTCCTTCCATTCTCCTATTATCAGCCCCCAAACTCCACTGCTGTTTTGCAGTACCCACAGATCCTACTTTCCTTAACCCGCCTTGTAGGTATGGCTGGTGAATTGCACTTGTATTTATTGCAAAGCAGGCGTGTAAAGCCTTAGGCCAGGGCTTGTAAGGCAGGTAGTCAGCTCATTAGCCAGCCCATTTTCAAAGAGAAGGAACTACCAACACTCATGATGACACTTTCGTGTAGGTATTTAAAAGATACTTGGAACACATCATGAAGGATTTTTGGGGAGACATTAGTCTGGAGCAAAGAATTCCCTTGCCAGTTTTTCTCAGAATCTCATTTTTTTTTCTCCAAAGTTTTTTAAAAAATTATTGTTATTTTTACTCTTTACAAAAAGAATACATTTAATTACCAAAATGAAACAAACAAAAAAAAACCTCATAAAATATGGACAAACAAAACAAAAAAAATGAAATAAACTCCCATAATCCATACATATTTCCTGACCCTTTTATATTTATATATAGACTGAATTCTGTGCATGCATATTTTTGCAAAAATGAGATCATATTGCTCATAATTTATTCTTTGCTTGACAAGAACTCCCATGTCAACAGATATTTTTCAACATCATTTTTCATGAAACGATAAAATTCTCTTTCCAGAATACATCACAATTTATATAGCCAATCCTATAGTTTTGAACATTTAGGTTGTTTCCAACTTTTTTCTCTTCTAAATAGCATGATGACAAAATCCTTATACATGTATCTTTATGCACATCTTTATGAGACAAGAAACCACAAAGTAGAATTGACCATGCAGTTAACAAGCTCGGCTCCTCGAAGGTTCTTGACCCCTTCTGTCCAAGGCCAGAGACTCCAAGCCTGAATTTACTCTGCTATTATGGCAGATATTTGTATGTGCTTCTTTTGATATGATTCCAGAAATAGGAGCTATCATTTGGAAAAAAGATCATTCCGTAGGTTGTCCTGAGTTTTGGAGAGTATTTATGACATCACTAGACATGACTTAACCATAGCAGCACAAAGCTTTGGGTGACGAAGGGCCTGGGTCTTCACTTCGTTTTTCTGTGAGCCTGGATGAGTCGCTCAGTCTCTCTGGGCTAAAGTTGCCCCCTGTAGGACCTTTTCCTTCTACCTTCCGTTCAGAGGATTCCATGAGATGCTGCTACAGGTAAAGAGGTTGGCACATAGTTCCCTCCCCCCAGCCTCTCTCCTTCCCATTTTAGAGACGCAGATGGCGAGCCCCAGATCTCCAGAAGCTTTGGAGATGTGAGTCCTGTAGCAATCTTACGAAGCCACACTCGCCTAAACCAGACGTCGTAAACAGGGTGTAGTCTGAAAAATCTGTTCTGTTTGGCAGGCATGGTATTTAAAAACATTTTTTAATTGGTTGCCAAATTTTAAAAATCTAGAAATTTTAACATAAAAATAAAAACGTCCCTCCTCTTCTCCTGAGACACTCAGAAGGTATGGTGGCGCTACTGTGTCCTCATCCTGTCCTGACAAGAGTCACCTAGACTGAGTGGTGACGAGCCCTTCGGACAGGGCAGGAGAGCTCTGGTCACAACCTCCTCTCTGCCCGCATTGAACTTCACCAGCGCGTCTCACTCAAGCTGCCCATCTATCATCTGTAGGTGTTTGAGTGTGAATCCCAGGTCTTCTTTGGGCTCTGTAGTTGATCACCAAAGTCTTGAGCTGACAAAGGGGAGGAGAGAGTGCCTTGGCCAATTAAGGAGCTGAGAATAGCAGGGAGGCTCTCCCTCTGACTCCTCTAAATATTTTGAACCGAGTCATTGGGGCGTCTAAGAGACCAAGGACAGGCAGGATGCGATAAGGCGGGAATCAGCCATGCACGTAGGGGTTTCTAAAAGTGGACCACAGGCTCAACACTCCCTACATGCAGGCCATGTGCAATTTCACTGATAGCTCTGCGGGATCAGCAGCAAGTTTAGGGGGGAAGAGAGTAGAAAGGCCGTGATTGTAGAGGCAGAAGTAGCTGGTTTCAAAATCTTGTTTTACCTATTTCTAGCTGTCTACTTCAACATAGGCCTCAGTTTTCTTATCTACAAAAGGATTGTTGGGAGGATGAACTGATATGTTATAAAGCACCCATATGTTGAAGAGATGCATGCAGACTCTTTCTATCCGAGATGCTCCCCTCACAGCCCCTTATCTTCAGATCTCAGCCCACGTGTCTCACTATGGAAACCTTTCTAGAAGCCCCACCTGGATGAATCCTGCTGTCACAGTACCATAGACCTCTCCCGCACGACATGGACCACAGCTGCATTTTTGCAATTATTTATTTTATTATTTGATTGACGCCTACCCCCCTTCCCAATATGTCTGCCTTTGCCTCCACACACGTCCAGGGCCTGGTACAGCCTGTGTGCTCACTACAACTTCGCTGGTTGCATAACAAATGAGCAAAGGTCAGCAGGGTGTCCCGGCTCATCAGTTATCAGAACCACTAATTGGCCTCCTCCTCCTCAGAACCCTTGGCAGCCCCGACCCTGCGGTCAGACAGGCTACAGCTGGCGCCCAGTATGTTTTATGTGGCTAGGGCATTAAACATGTCCCTCCTTTGGCAATATTCTGTGCAGAAAGCTTGCTTCCAACAGGAACCTAAGCATGAGCATTGAGACCTGCTTTGGGGACAGATGCTTGAGGAGCCGTTTGTCCCCTGTACTTAGACAGTCAGGGCAGAACCCTGCATGGTGACCAAAGCACCATTCCTCCCAGAGGAAGGGACCAAGGGCATCACCTCACAGCATCTTCTCCTCACCAAAGCACTAAGAGTTGGGTTGAAATAAATGTTACTGGTGACGTGCAAGTTACCAAAGCAGGGGTGCTTGGGCTCTAAATTCTGTTTCCAGTGGTGGCAGGAGGAAACGTTTTATAAAAGAACCGAGTTCACAGTGGTAATAGGTAACAGTTGTCATTGCTCAGTGCTGGCTGCGGGCTAATCACGTTCAGGGCAAACTCACTTTTGTTAGGAGCAATGCTAGCCGTCACTTTCTGAGCCTTCATACGTGGTCTGCATGGCTGTTTATATGCCCAGCAACTCCATAGGCAGGTTCTGTGAGCGCTGCCATTTTACAAGTGAGCAGAGTAAGGCACAGAGAAGTTAATTCACTGCCCCTTAATACCTCGTATATGTCAAAAACCTAAAAGCTGACCAGAGCTCCCTTCCTTTGTCCCCAACACCCCTCAGCTGTAAGTCATCCCAAGGATCAGAATTGGAACATCACGTTGCACAGGGATGGGAGGTGGGAATGTGATAATCGTTGAATAGTAGATTCTGCCTGTCGACAGCTCCGGGCCTCGCCGTGAAGATCTGGTCTCTGGTTCCTGGTTCACTTCCTTTTCTTACCAGGAAATGCACTTCCTTTACACCCAGAGAGCACTGGTGAGCGGGTAGGAGCTGCCCTTTACAGCGCTGTTTACGCGCCCGGAGTAGTGCAATGGTTAGAGCTTGGGCTCCAAAGGCAGTTAGCCTGGGAACCTGGTCCAGCCCTTCCATCTGTTAGCATATGACTCCTGACCAGTGACTCAGTCTCCTTCTCTGATTTCCCTTACTTGTCATATTGCGTTGGCCAGAGTCTTCAGTATGACGCTGAACAATACTGGCTGGGAGGGTGTCTATCTTTTCCAGGCCATAGTTTTCTCATCTGAACATGGAAACCCTCAAGGGACCCATTCTGCAGGAGTGTCATAAGGATGAAATGATCTGAGGCATTTAAACTACTTAGCATGATACCTCTCACTCCCTAAGTGCCCCACAAATGCTAAGTGTTGTCATTGTGACCCACGCGGGAGGGCTGGTTAGCAGGGGTGGAGGACTCCCTGGGGACCTCCAGAGGTGCTCAGCTGTTCTGCCTGACTCCTCCCTGGCCTGGCCTCCTTGTCGCTGTACCTGGTAACTCAGCATATGTCCCCAAACAGGTACCTGTACAAACTGCGCGATCTTCACCTGGACTGTGACAATTACACGGAGGCCGCCTACACGCTTCTTCTCCACACCTGGCTTCTCAAGGTACTGCCCTTTCAGTGCAGTGGACTTGTAATGGGGTGTCCCCTTGGGGCCCTCACAGCAAGTGGAGGAGATTTTTTAAAAAGAAAAAGAAGTAACCAAATATATTTTTTGTTTTGTGTCCCCAAACTCTTGACCTGACAGATTACTTTTCTGCACTGCTTTGCCTGGCCACATAAGGTCTCGGGTGACCTTCACATTTATCAGCAGCAGTAACCCCTGGAGATATGTCTTGCAGTTTTATATAACACCCAAACTGTTTTATATAACACCCAAACATCGACTATAAATCATTAACATGCCCAGGGAGTTCTTTTCCTTCCCTTGAAAGTGCTGCCATAGTTAGACAGAATCTGAGGGATTGCCTTTGGGTTTTGAAGAGCTGGGACCATGTCTCCTAGGGGTCCCGTGAAAATCCCCACAAACCACGTGTATGAGCCAACAGAGAGTCAGGCTCCACTCAGCAATCACCAGGAGGCACTTCTCACGTGGAAACTGCAGACCAGTATCCCTCTGACTGACCTCTGACACCCAGGGGGCACAGGGAGGCAGCAGGGGTGTTTCCAGGGCTTCCTCTCACTCTTCATCAGTGGGGAAGCCCCTGGTGACTCTGCATGTCCTCTCTCCACAGTGGTCAGATGAGCAGTGCGCCTCACAGGTCATGCAGACAGGCCAGCAGTACCCGCAGACCCACCGGCAGCTGAAGGAGACACTCTATGAAATCATCATAGAATACTTTGACAAAGGAAAGGTAAGTGGACCCTGCCTTTCCTCTCTGTGGGGACCTTGGCTGCTGGGGAGGGCAGTTCTCTCCCATCCTTCACACCCAGTTCATCTGCAGATTTCCCTGCCGCTCCTAGGTCTGATCACTTCTTTCCACCTTTTCCCCATCTCCATTCCTACCCCCTCCGTTCATGGCACCAGTGTGGCACACCTGGACACTCAGTGAGTCCTAACCCGTCTCCCTGCTTCCTGTGTTGCCCCTGACAGGGTGATCATAAAACATATATTGGATCACGCCATTCTCCTGCTTACAGTCATCTTAATGGTTCCCCCATTCCACTTAGAACAAATTACACATCCTCCCCGTGACTCATGAGGCTCCACATGAGCTGTCCTCTGATTGCTTCTCTCATTTCATCCCTGCCAGCCTCCCTCGTCATCACGTACTCTATATGCCACCACAGGGCCTTTGCACTTGCTTTTCCCAGCTTAGCATCCCTTGGCTGGCTCCTCTCCACAGCTCAGGGCTTTGCTCAGGTGTCCCGTCCTTAAAGAGGCCTTCCGTGACCACCCTAGACAAAGCAGCACCCCTGTCCTGAGTCACCCTATTGCCTTTTCAATGTACTTGTCACAACCAGACATCACCTTCTTCATGTTGTTTTTCGTTGTTCATTGTCTGGCTCCTCACTTTAGAATGCCGTGAGGGCAGACACTTGCCCACAGCCGAATGACCAGAGGCTAGAGCAGAGCCTGACAGGCAGGACCCAGTAAATATATGCTGAATAAGTGATAGCATTGAGTGTACAAATGCCACTGTGGTGCCATCATTGATCTCTAAACAGCAAGGACACATGCTCTGTTGGGGCTGGTCAGGAGGTGAGCCAGACCAACTGCTGCCTCCCCTCCAGCCTCCAGGGGACCTTCAGGAAGCACCAGCCCAGATGCCAGCACTCACCCTGTAGGAGACGTGGCATGGTCGCTAAGTTCTCTGGAGCCAGATGGCCTGAGTTTCAAACCTTGTTCCTCTACCACCCGCAGTTCCTCTGGCCTCTCCGAGACTCTACTTCCCTACCCACAATAGTGAGATAGTAATAGTACCTGCTTCCTGGTTACAATGTGCCAACTGGGTGAGAAAATGCCTGTAGGGCATCTAGCCTAGGACCTGGTGCATAGTGATGCCTTGTTCAATTTTAACTATCGCCATTATTACCCGATTCCTCCTTCAAGGCCCCAGTTGACCGGCCGCTTCCTCCATCACCCTTTCCTGAGTCCTCCAGCTTACCTCCAGCCCTGCCTCGCCTCTGAATTGCAAGCCCTCTTACAGTTCATCAGGACATAATTTAACACTTAAGTTTGGCCTGTCCTGTCACTGCAGTTTATCGCATCTGTCTGAGTCTGATCTCCCCACCTTCCCTGGAAAGACAAAATGAGGTGATGTCTGTGGAAGGGCTTATAAATTCCCAGGAGTTGAGCAGTTGGAGAACACTTTTTAAAATGCACAATTATACGCCTCTTGAGGGCAGAGACTCTGCCATTGCCGGAACCCCCTGCTCTGCCCCATCAAGTCAGAGCTGACGATTAGTTTATCAGCTGATTAAGTGGGTCACAGCAGGAAAGCCCTAAAAGTGCCTACTGAGCTCTGTCCTCTGCAGGGCATCCAGTTCAACCCACCCTGTGCTGAGCAGAGAGGTAAAAGGCATATAACCCCCAGTCTCAAGGACCTTACCACCCAGTTGGCCAAATAGACACGCCAGCCATGATCATTTTTGCACATTATCCTTCCATGGTGGGCAGTAATGGAGGAGGGGAGGGAACAGGGTGGTAACAAAGTGCTTTGGGAGCAGAGAGGAGGCAGAAGATGAGTACAGCTCTCTCCAGAAGCCACTGCTGTGGCAGCTTCTAGAATAAAGCCCACACTCTGTAGCAGCCCTTCCGCTTCTTTCCCCTGTACTTCCCTTCATTAAAACGCATTGCTCCGGACACGTTCAATGGCTTTCTCCTCCACAAGCCCATCTGTCATCACCTGGTAGACTCCTCTACATCCCTCAAAACCCAACTATTGCATCTTTTGTGTGTGTATGCTTTACCCACGCATGTTTCATGAAGCAGAGACTATGTCTTATCCATCTTTATATCTGCTCCATCACTGCATACCATACCATGCCTAGAAGCCAGCAGGGGCTATAATGTATTAATATTAGACTCAGAGGGATCAGTGACTGTCAGAGGCCCCAGTGACCAGCAAGGCAGACCCAGAGGAGGAAATCCCAGATCTGACTCCCTGCCTGGCCCCCTTCCCCGTTCCTTGGTGGTCTCCTAACGCATGGGGAGAGCATTTCTGGCAAACAGTCCCCTGGCCCAGCCCCGGGGCATCCCCACCACCTTCTTGCTCAGGCTGAAGAGAACGCACCGGCCAGCCTGGCCCACAGGCTTGGTTCCTCCAGGCACATAAAGCATTTTGATGCTGCTCACTAAGCTGCCATGGGTTTCCAGCCACAGCTCCTCCACTCAGCAACTCGCTTTCTTTGTTTTTATGCTTGGACGCAGGGAGAACACTTTTGTAACAAAGCAAATTCTGCATTTTGGCAACCTCCCCTCTCTCGTCCCCCAGCTCCCCCATTTAGGTGCATTTTCCCTTTTAAACCGAATATGAAATATAATGAGGGCCCCTTGAGACCGCCAGACCTCCAGCCCACCCTGCATTCCCCCTGCCTCTCTGCAGGGCTGCCCAACCCCTTTAGTCTAAGATGGGGGATATCTACTGGCTTCAGCCTCAGACAGAAAGGATCCACTATGTCCAGGGTTTGTTTTTCCTGAATTGTGTCTAAAAATGGAAAAGATCTATTTTTAAAAAGGTCAAATCACTCTTTTCAGTACTCTAATACCACGCTCGCCCCCACCTCTATGTTGCCCCCTGCCCACTCATGCACTCCAAATAACCCCATTAAGAAGGGACTAGCATAAAGTTTCAGTTATACAAGATGACTAAATTAAGAGGTATGCTGTACTACCCTGGGCCCAGTAACAACGCTGCATTGTGAACCCAGAAAAACAAGCAAAAGGGTGAAAGGAAAGGTGGGATGGGGGGAGGGAGAGAAGGAGGGAGAGAGGGAGGGAGAGAAGGAGGGAGAGGGAAAGAAAGTTGGCCAGCGGGGGGGGACGAGTTTGGCAGAGTGGAAAGATCCCAGGAATGACCCTCAGAGGAACTGGACCTGGCCCCATCTTGATGTCCAGAACCCCTCTTACCTTAGGCCACCTGCCTACTTCTCTGTGAACCATTTCTCTTTGGAAAATGGGGCCAACACCTCCCAGCCCCACCTGCACACGGGGAGGCCGAGGGAGTAAAAGGCTCATTTACTTCTAAGGCAGGGCGTGAAGCCAGGTCACAGGTCACCCTCAGGTAGGCATGCTGGACCTGCTTTGGGCTGGGCACCTGAGCTGGGACATTTGTTCAGCCTGCGAACCTTGTGTCTCACCTGGGAAGTGAAGATACTGCTAGTTGCCTCTCAGAGGGGTTGTGAAGGTCCTGAGAGCCTGTCAGTAAAGTGTTTGGCCTAGTCTGTGGCTGCTCCGTTATCTATGAAGAAACTAGGCTGGGAGGCTGAGGAAGGGGCCTGCTCCCGGGCGCACTGGCTCCTGGTGCGTGGGGCCGGCTGGGCCAGGGCCAGGGCCAGGCTTGCAGCTCCGACCCAGGAAGCACAGCCACCCAGGTCCCTTCCTCAGCAAGGGCCCTGAAGGCCTGGAGGCGCCCCCTACCCTTTGTCTCCTGGACCTTCCTGCAGATGTGGGAGGAAGCCATCAGCCTGTGCAAGGAGCTGGCGGAACAGTACGAGACGGAGATCTTTGACTACGAGCTGCTCAGCCGGAACCTGGTAAGGCGTCACCGCTGGGGCTGACTGTCCTGGAGGTGGGGTGCTCAGAGGGCCTTGACTGCGCAGAGAAGCTGGAGAAGGGGACAGGAGGCCAGGCAAGGGGGGACACTAGGTAAAGAACGGAAGGAGGGCCTGAGCTGAGCTAGGCTGTGCTGAGCGGTTCCCTCCCAGTTGGGAATATTTCCAAAGGGGGGAATTCTGGGAAAACTCATCAACGACAGTCCCTGGGATGGAGTGTTAAGTACCTGCTTGGCACCGGGCGCCTGCTGCTGGTACATCCCCGATCAATGCTGTGCTACATTTGCAGTAAAATTCCCACAAATCACTAAGCCAATTAAATAAAAACGCAAATTTGTGCTTTCTGATTAACAGATAAATCACATTAAAATGCTCCCCATCTGGCCATTCCCCATTAGCTCCTCGATTTTTGTGATTTGGTGGGGAAAGTGGAAAGTGGGAGGAAGCCAGCCTATCCTGCTTGTGCTGCAGAGGCCAGCGCTTGGCTGGGAGGTGGCCTCTGCAGGGAAAATGCAGAACTTTTGGGTTGCTCCCTGTACCTATTTCCTGGTGACTGGAGAGCCGGGACCCCAGGGCCTCATCTTAGCCCATTTTGAGAGGCCAATTGAGCTGTTGCCAGGGAAATATCAAATGAGAGTCAGGATGCTGGGAGGGCAGTTAGAGCTTCTGCTGGGGGCTGGGGGAGGGGATGGTATGGAAGTATGGTGTTCTAACATGATGCAGCCACACAAGTTCTTGCCCCAAGAAACACTTACATCTGCCCCATGAGTGTATCCACAGAGATGTGTATGAGTGTGGAGGCACACACGCCTTCTGAGTGTGTGCATTCATGCACACATGCACCACACACCCAGTACACATTCGTGCTCACTCCAATCTGCATGCACATCTGGGCACCAAGCTCATGTCACATAGGCGTGTGCCAGGGTCCATGCATATTTTCTTCCATATTGTGTCACAGTCACGATGCCAGTGTTTGTGAGGTGCACCGTTCTTTTTTATGTGCTGTGTCATGATTTCTGTCGGGTTCAGACCAATTGTAAGATGCCATCAGGTGCAAGTAAGGTGCAAACTGTTCCCAGGCGTGTTCAGTGTGCACACACAGGAAGACATCTATACCCAGAGGCACGTATCCACCCATAGACCTTCACAAACACACACCCGGGTTCGGACCAGCTGGCTGGGTTCACTCCCCACCTGCTGGCTGCACTATGAGATACCAGTTCTTTATCTACAGAATGGATATACAACACTCGTGGGTTGTTATGAGGGTGGTGCAGGTAAAAGATGCAGGTAGTGACTGACATGGTAGCTGGTACATGGTAACTATGACTATCACAGTCGTCCCTTGGTAGCAGCAGGGCACTGGCTCCAGGACCTCTTGCAGATACCAGAATCTGCAGATGCCCACGTCTCTTGTGTGAAATGGTACAGGATTTGCATATAACCTGTATCTGCCTATAGGCTACCACAGGGTAGGCCTGCACCTATCACCGCATTGGCATGAATTCAGCGTAGTGCTCCACATGTGGCAAATTTAGGTGGGTTTTTTTTTTGTGGGGGGGGGTGCACTTTCTGGGAAATTTTTAATCTGTGGTTGTTTCAATCTATGGATGTGAAACCCATGGATACAGAGGGCCGACTGCACTGTTATAATCACAGACATACCCACAAGTGTGCAAATCTGTGCACTCGGCACATTGGTTCTGGTGTAATGGTCATGTCGTCACCGTGGCTCCTCCGAGTTGAATGTGCCTTTGACGTAGATCTGTGCTGTTACAAGCTGTGAGTTTTCCTCTTGCAGATGCAGCAGGCAAAATTCTATGAAAACATCATGAAAATCCTCAGGCCTAAGCCAGACTACTTTGCTGTGGGGTACTACGGCCAGGGATTCCCCTCCTTTCTGCGGGTGAGTTTGCAGGTGACTCAGACACAGGCCGGGTCCCAGGGCCTGGCATCTCAGCTGTCCCCTGGGCTCTGGGACACAGGGTGCAGGCTCTGTGCTCTACTCTGTGAGCGCTGCCCCCACTCCAGCCCCCTCCCCANCCACCTTCAGCCACCCCCTGTGTTTCTCTAAACACTCAGCCACCAGGGCTGCCTCTGAGGTAAGGAGCTCCCCATCCCTGGAGTGAGTTGTTCAGAAAGAGGCTGGAGGACCTTTGCTACCCAGCATGCACTGCAGAGCATGGGTTTTCAGACCTTTTGGATGCAGGACCCCGATTTTCTCTCTTAAAAATTATAGCGGTCCCCAATAGAACTCCTGTATTTGTAGACTCTATTTTTTTTATCATATCTAAAATTAAAACTAAGAAAATTTTAAAATGTCAACTTATTTAAAAATAACAATAATAAACCCATCACGTGTTAACGTAAATGGCATCTTTAGGATAAATAACTATATTTTCCAATTTGAAAATTAGAGTGGTGAGATTGTTTCATATTTCTGCAAATCTCTTTAATGTCTAGATGAAGAGAAGACAGCTAGACGCTTATACTGCTTCTACACTCAGTCTGTTGTGATGCCACCCATCACGCAGCCTCTGGAAAACTCTACTGTACACTCGTGAGACGATGAGAGTGAGAAAGGCAAATGGCAGCTTACTGCTATTATGGAAAGAGCTCTGATCTTGTGAGACCCTGAAGGGGTCTCGGGGACCCTTGGGGACCCCTGGAGCACTGTTTCTGAACCGCTGTTTTGGTGGATTGTTCATTTCGTCATGAAGAGAGTTGGGTTAGGTCAGCTGTAGGCTTCCTTCTGGTCCGAGTCTATGGTTCAATTCTGAGCTCAGGGAGACACAAAGGAAGCGGTCGATCCGACCTCTGGGCCCACTTGATTTACAGTCTAGTCAAGGAGATAAATCACTCACCATCATAATCAATGTGGAAGTCAGAGTGGACATGAGCTCCCAAAGGGGGAGATAGGGTTTCCTCGATGGAATAGATGTGACGTCCCCAACCTGATTGTACCTCAGAATCCCCTGGGGAACGTGGTAGAAATACATGTGCCCAGGCCCGATGCCCACAGGTTCCCTTTCAGCAGGTCTGGAGTGAGGCCTGGGACTCTGAACTTGTGCAAGTCTGTGCTCCTCTGATGATCCACCAGGTTGGGAAGCAATGGTGATGATATGTAGAGGTGATAGATGCAGGTTTGGACAGACTAACTTATGGACCATTAGAGGCTGCACAGATCTGGCCGAGAACAGGGTTTGTCAACCTCAGCTCTGTTGACGCTTTGAACGAGATCATTCGTTCCTGTGTGTGTGGGGGGGGGGGGGGGCTGTCCTATGCATTGAAAGATGTTTAGCAGCATCTTGGGCCTCTACCCACTAGGTTCCAGTAGCCCGCCTCCCCTGAGTTGTGATAACCAAAAATGTTCCCAGACATTGGCAGTGTCCCCTTAGGAGGCAAAATCCCACCCTGTTTGAAAATGACTAACCTAGAAGAAGCTAGTTCAGTCAAGGAAGGTGAAGAGTGTGATTCCATGGAGCTAGGGCCAGGAGCCAAGTGATGGAGGACCCCAAGGCCGGTCCCTTCCATCCTGCACGCCACCCACATGGCCCATTAAAGGCGGAGGAGAAATCCTGTGGCCGCGTACGTAGGAGAGTAGGGCTGAACAGTGAAAGCTGAGTGAGGGATTGTTCTGAAAGCTGCACATAGGACAGTTTGAAGAAGTTCTAGCATCCACCATCTCCTCTCCCTTTCGAGCCAATCTTTTTAAAGAAGTGAAGTGCCCAGCTGGAAGGTCAGTGAGTTGAGCTCTTCCTTTCCTAGGAGGGGAAGTAGACAACAGGAGAAGGGTCTGTAGGAGGTCGCCATGCCCTGTGCTCATGTCACAGCCTCCCAGCTGTGCTAGGACCACGTCCTCCAAGGCTGGGCTCAGATCCCTGACGGGTGTCATCTCTCTGCAGAACAAAGTGTTCATCTACCGAGGGAAGGAGTACGAGCGAAGAGAAGACTTCCAGATGCAGCTGATGAGCCAGTTCCCCAATGCGGAGAAGATGAACACCACCTCTCCCCCTGGGGATGACGTGAAGAACGCCCCAGGCCAGTGTATCCTTGGAGAAGGCCCCAGCCAAGGGGTTAGACTGGGGCAGCCCTGCCAGGACTCCAGCCCCCAGAGCCCCAGCTTAGGGCCCAGAGCTGCTGCCAGCACCGTTGCCATGGTGCCGGTTTTAGCATCCAGTATAGGATCCAAAGAACCCATCTCAGGGAATTCTAAATGCTGCATTCATCGGTTCATTCAGTCAGTCCTCGTTCGTTCGTTCATTCATTCATTCTTGTAATGAATGCTGTCCAGCTCTGACTCTGTGCCAAGCATCAGGCAAAGTGCTGGAGGTTATACTCACAAAGTGGTCCTACCTCAGGGAGCTTATAGCCCAATAAGTAAAAGAGACATTGAACAGCTAATTACACCATTAAATGTATATGGATAAAAAGGGGACCAATGCCAAGGGGAAGCCCTGCTGGGTGCTGTAATTAGGAGGGCAGGGCAGGCTTCCTTGAGAAAGGTGATGTTTAAGGTGAGTGACCACCCAAGGGTAGTGAGAGGTGGGCAGGGTGCCCTAGAGAGATGGAAGGACTATCCCACTGAGTGTCGCAGGTTCTAAGATCTTCAGTGGCTCCACACTACTCTTCTAATAAATTAGAACTCCTGAGTGAGGCCCTCAAGGTGGTCCGTCCTCGGACCCCTGCCTGTCTCCAGTGCCATGGCCCCAGACTCGCCCCGCCTTTTCTCATGCCCCTCTGGCCACACTGACCTCTTCTCTGTTCCTTAAACACTTAGCCCATCTTGCTGCCGCCTTGGGCCTGTGCATGTTCAGTGCCCTCTGCTTGGCATGATCTTCCCGCTCCTTTCTCACCCATCAGATCTTAACTTGGGGTCACCTGCTGGAAGAGGCCTTCCATGGTCACCCAAAGTGGCCTTTCCTGAACTCTTCACGAGTGTGTGATCTCAAACTCTGTTTGTTTTCTGTAGAGAATTGATCCCAATCTGGCATTATGTCCAGTGCCTTTTTAAAGGTACCTGTAAGGTAGACCGTAAGTCCCTTGAGGGCACGCACTTGTGATGCCTTGTTCACTGCAGTAATTCCTCGTCTCCCACAGTGCCCAGCCCGAAGCTGACTCTCAGGAAATACTTGTTGATGAATAGAAAGACAAAGAAAACAAGAGAGAGAGTTAGCTAGAGAAAGGTGGGAGAGAGGAAGCCAGCTCAGTGGCCTGCAGAGGTGACCTGAGATGACGCCGTGAGCTGGGCAGAGTGTGGTGTTCACAGGGCCAGGAGCTGACCCTGGGCCGGAAGCACAGGATCCCAAGGCTCAGGCAGGCAGCTGAGCGGAGGTGCCTTAGCCTACCCCGGCTTCCCACTTTGCACCCTTTAACACAAATTAAGTTACAGCTTTTAAAATGGGCGTTGACAGGTTTCATGGCTGCTCTGCTAAGTCTGCCGAACCATAATTCAACAAATCTTTTCTCTTGGGTGATAAATATTCATCTGTAACCTTTTCATTATGCTCGCCTGTCCTTCATGCCTGCCCTCCCATGGTTATTTGCAAGAGGAAATGCAACTGGTGGTGGGGCTGGCTGGTTACAAAATGTGAGTTTGGTTACAGGCGAGATGCGGGATTAGTACTAAGGCCCTTTTAAGTGGACATCTGGTGTTGAACAGCTCCATGGCCTTTTAACTTGGAGTGGGTGGAGACAGCATGTATCCCTGGGCCATATAATCATATGTAGGCCTGATTCAGTGCCCAGAGCCGGGTGGCAAGAAAAGAGGAAGGTCTGACATTTGCTACATGTCTTCCGTACTATGCATGGACTGAGTGCTTTATAACCATTATTCCTTTAATCCCCATAAACCCATATAAGGTTGGCATTAATTTTTCTTACTTCATAGAGAAGGACTATGTGAGGGAGACAGGTAAAGTTACAAAGCTAGTTAGTGATGGAGTTGAGATTTGAACGCTAAGATCTATCTGTCTCAAAGTCTATATTCTTTCTATAACGTCATCATTTTGTTTAAGATCAGTGAACAGAAGGTTCGTTACTAACTGGTCATGTACTAGGCGTTTTTTCATGCATTGTTTTATTTTATCCTCATAATAATCCTAGGAGAGGGATATTATTACTCTCTGCATTTTACAAATATGAAAACGGAGGCTCAAAAACTGTAAGCCGGTTGCACAAGGTCACAGGAAGTGATGGAGCTAGGATTTGAACTCAGGTCTGTGTTTGACCAAAATCTGAGCTCTTAATGCTTTGTTCTGTTGCCTTCACTTGTGGAAACACTGACAAGCAGTTTGAAAAGGTGACAGATCTCATATCTTCCCACTTGGGTATCCAAGTGGGGGAAGACATTTAAAAGCAAAGGTCTCTTGGTTGGGTGTCTCCTGTCCCCTTTCCGCCTCTCTGCCCAGACCTCGGGGCCACAATTTTATATACAGATTCAGCACACGGTGAATCTAGCCACGCACCCTCCTGGTGTCGCCGGCTGCATCAGGACAGGTTTGGATTATACTCTTGGACCAAGGACAGTTGCTCAGATCAGCAGACTTGACCTAGAAACTTCTTTAAAACAAGAGTTGGCAAATTTCTCCATAAAGGTCCAGATAGGAAATATTTTAGTCTTCCTGGGCCATGTGGCCTCTGTCACAACCCTCAACCCTGCTGTTATAGGGGAGAACAGCCACAGATAGCACAGGCATGAGTGGGTGTGGCTGTGTGCTACTAAACTTTATGAGCCCTGACATTTGAATTTCATATCATTTTATATGTCACAGAATACTCCTTTTTCCCAACCATTTAAAAATATAAAAACTAGTCTTAGCTGTGGACTGTACAAACACAGAAGGCAAGCTTGATTTGACCTGCAACCGTAGTTTGCTGACTCCTGCCCTAGACTGAATCCAGGGTGATTTTCCCCCCAGAGAAGGCTGATGGCTGGATGGCTGCAGAGAGAAAATGGTCTTCCTGAGTGTAACAGAAATCCTCCTAGTGGCGTGTATTCATGTGTGTTAAGCATTGTTCTCTCTCTCCTTCTAAGGGACTCTCATTTGACGTCACAATACTCTTCAGAGGGAATTCAATCCCCAACATACGTTCTAGGGATTTCCACCCTAAACATCTTGGCCACAAGCATTTTTACCACAAACATTTTCGCTGCAGAACTAATTCGCCATAAGACCATTTTGCTGTAAAAGGGAAAAGTGAATAACAAAATTAAGAAGACTTTATTGCTATACGTTCTTTTTTAAATTGTCGAGTAGTAGTTGTGTATTGTCCATGTCCATTGATAGATATTTCAAAGCTCTATAGGAAGTGTTAGTTAAGCAATACATACATTATTACCTAAGGAGCTGCAAACTGACACATGGTCATTTTCTAGTAAAGCATGCAATCTGGCCCAGTAAGTTTTATTACCATGTTTTCTATCAAGTCACTATAGGTACTGGTTCTCATCCACTATTTTCAGACCACCCCATCCACTTGTCACTGTGTAGACCTTTATGAGGGCTAAAATTTATGTGTTATAAAAATGGGACTACTGCAAGAATTTGTCAATGGAGAAATGAAATAAAACCAAACTTTCATGACAACTAGCTTAAATACATTAAGTATTTAATGTATCTCAATTGATTCGTCAATGGAGAAATAGAACCAAACTGTCAACCAGTTAATTTATCTTTTATGACAAAATTGCCTTACGGCTCATTAGTTCTGCAGTGGAAATGTTGGCGGCAAAAATGCTTACAGCCAAGATGTGTATGGGAAAGGAGCTCAAAAATACCAGACACGCCCAACATGTTAATATGCAGCGAGTTTGTGGGGAGGAGGGCCTGCTGACTTTAACTTAGAGCTCTGTTTTAGCCGTTTCTTCTGTGTGGCAGAATCATAGCCATCAGAGAGCTCACAATCCGGTGGGGAAGGGCGAGGGGGAGAACAGAGGGAGCCAAGAGGTAAGACCCCCAACTACAGACAAATGCTGTGGAGAGGGAGGGGGAGCAGCAGCTGACGGAGGGTCAGCTGAGCGTTCGTGGGGGCTGTGGTGGGGATGCGGGAAGGTGTGCCGAGCAAAGGGAGAGTAGTAGCACCTGTTGTGATGGTGGGAAACGGGCTGGGGTCGTAGTCGAGCATTTGAATACTCCACACTCAAACACTGGCACGTTTGAATGCCAGCAGGAGGAGTTTGTGATTCCATTGGCAGAAATGTCGGGCCCAGGAGAAGTTTTAGGAGTGATGGTGGTCATCTAGTAGAACAGAGCAATGAGAGAACTTGGATATCTAAAGAGCAGAGATGGGTAAAGATGCCACGGAAGGTAGGGAACAGGAGCAGGGCTCAGCGGTGGGACTGGCGATGGCTGGTTTTGTTCACGCGGTTTGCTGTATTGTTGGCTTAAATGAATAAAGCTCTAGAATATGTGTGACAAAGATCTGGCCCACACAGTGCATTTCCTGTATCCTGTGCTCATGGCAGGCATCACTAATCCATCATGGAACTTTTTCCCACTGAGCCTAGACACAGCCTTACAATCCTGCCACAGGCAGTTGCTCTCACACTTTCAAAGGTGGCATGTAAAATGCCATGCATGTGTATGCTCTAATGCAGTGCTTCTCAAACGTGAGCACGCATATGAGGGTCTTAGGATCTTATAAGACTACAGACCCTGATTCAGTAGGTCTGAGGCCTGAGATTCACCGTTTTCTAACAAGCTCTCAGGTGATGATGCTGCTGGTCAGAGGGCCACACTGGGTAGCAGCCTAGAATCAAAGAACCCCAAACTCTGTTCTCAGAGCTGTGTGACCTTCAACAAGTTGTCTGGCTTCTTTGACCTTGATGCCTTCCTCTATGAAACAGGGACAATTTACATTAATAATACTGCTCAGTGGAACCGGAGAGATGAAAGGAGACCATAGGGAGATGTGTTCTGCAATTGACTGAGAGCGATAAATGCATGAGATGGTATTATTGTTAGTGATAATACGGCAGTGATAATGATGATGGACCACTACTGACTAACTATTAGCAAGGGTTGAGCCCTCGGACAGCGTTGCAAGTGACAGGCAGCTCCAGCTGCTCACTGGTCATTAGGGCCTCGCTGGCAGACAGCAAATTGAGATTGGTCATTCAGTAAAAACTTGACCCCAGAAGGTCTGGCCTGGGAGGTCTCAGGGGGGACCTGCTATGCTTGGAACTGTCCCTGCAGACAACAGACATGTTGTGAACCCTTAACTCAAGGATCCCAGACATCCAGTGCTTCACCGTCCAGCCTGTCTTGGATGAACACCCCAGGTTCAAGAATAAGCCAGTGCCTGACCAGATCATAAAGTAAGAGCCGCAGCTCACCCACCGGAAGGAGGGAGTGGGGAACAAAATCCCATGGGGCCCCAAGCTGTGCTGGTGTCAGGACAGGCCCTAGTGCCTTTCTAGTTCCTTCTCTATCTCAGCCAGCCTGTTCCCCTGTCCTCTTGAGAGAAGAATCACCCCAAATTCGCCACCTGGGCTCTGCCCCTGAGAAGGCTGAAGCCAGAGATGGAGAATGAGGGTTGGTTTGCCTTGAGGCACAGTAGACCCTCCGTAAGCCGCGATGAGAGGAACTGAACGAGACATGGAGAACCTGTCATTCAAGCTGATCCCCGAGCGCTGGTGTGAAGGAAGGGTCGGGGCGGGGGTTCAGGGTCGGGGCGGGGGTTCAGTGCTCATGCTGAGCACATTCTCGCAAATGGACATCTTTGTAGCACTTGCTAAGCTTGTGTATTGACAGTGGGTATGTTTAGGCTGTGATAAGGGGACATTAGCGGAAGTAGCTTGAAGGCAGGTGGCAGTCTGTTCAATACCAGAGTGCGAGGTCAGTGGTGAGTCCACGAGGCATGAGGTCCATGGAGTCTGTGGGGCACAAGGCGGCACCTCTCCCATCTGTCCAGCTCACCCCCCTAGGCCCAAGTTCCCAACATAGAACCTCAAGTGCCTGAGCAAGAGGCCTCTCCGCTGGGAGGACCACTGGCAGCCGGAGCTGTTTGTAAGAAGCAGAAGGGCCCACTCCTTCAGGCAGAGACAGCCCCCCCCCAGCAGCCTCCCACCAGTGCACACGGCTGAGCAGGTGCACCTCAACACGGATCTCAGCCTCCTGTCACACCCTCGGTCAGGCATCTGTGGGCAGGGGACAGCAACTCGATAGCCAGCACTGTGTGCTGCTCGCCTGATGTCAGAACCCCACTGGAGATTCAGGAAGCGTGATTTGGGGGTGACTGGGACACCTAAAGAAATCATTGGAAGATAGCCCTGGGACAGGAGGCTAGGTGTGTCTCGATCCTTCATTGACGTCACCAGAGATGATGGCCCGGTCAACTCTGTGCATTAATGCAAGAACCCCAACTCCTTGGGTACCCTAATACCTGCTCTATATTCAGGAGGGCATAACCACTCTACCTTCTGAATCACCTTGCAAGGAAAGCCTGGTTTTAAATGTTACAACAAGGACTCTGCCGGACCTGAACAGGCCTCCCTGGACAGGGTCGGGTCAGGTTCCGCGTCAGCAGCCGAGCACACTGTGCTAGCAGAAGCCCCAGCTTCTCCCTGTCTTGCAGCTTTTATAAATCCAACTACGTGCAAAAGTTCCACTACTCGCGGCCGGTGCGCAGGGGGACTGTCGACCCTGAGAATGAGTTTGCCGTGAGTATCTCCTCTCCCCCTCAGCAGCCATGACCATTCCCCAGGGCACCCTTACCGACCAGAGCATGCTTCTGCCAACCTCCAAAGGGGAGGGAATTCAATCCAAAGCCAAAGTAAAACTAACACCCATTGGTACGATGCACACACACACACCCATGCCCAGTCTCTTCCATTGGGTTTGTTTTCTCATTTCCAGAATATAGGACCCCTCAGACTAAGCAGGGGTGTTGATAAAATCAAACCCTCCAGGAAATACCAACAAGCCACAGCGGTTTCAGTCCCCACTATCCCCTGTATGTGTCCCAGCTAGGACCTGTCTTTTATTCCCGAGGGCTAAGGCTGGTGTGAGGAGGTGGCTCTGAGTCTCAGCTCTTTGCCTTAAACTGTGACTCTTCATATTTGGGAAATCACTGTCCCTTTGAGAAGCCAATGAACACTCTGGACCCTCCCTGAGAAAATGCAGGTGGATGCATTCAATATTGCCTAAAATTTGAACTGTTCAGAGACCCAGGTTAATTTAAAGCTTACTGGGCCTAAGTACAGGGAACACTTAAAATTCACTTTGGGAAAGAATTCTAAAGGGCAAGGTGCAAGCGTGTTTCTGGGTCTTGCAGTGTTTATTCTGATTTCGGATGAATGGGAGGCCTGGGGGCCTGGCTGGGTTCCTGCCAAGCTTCTCTGATACCCAGGTTTCATACATGTGTTGCTTTTCTGCCTTTATCACCCTCTGCCCCGACATGGGACAGTCGATGTGGATCGAGAGAACCTCCTTCATGACTGCCTACAAGCTTCCGGGGATCCTGCGGTGGTTCGAGGTGGTGCACATGTCCCAGGTGAGTCCGCGGGCCTCCCGGCACACGTCTCCCAGCCTCAGGAGGCCTCCTGGACTGAGAAAAAGAGACAAGCTTTTCTTTGAAGCCACAAACAAAAGGGAGCCCGGGAATCCCAGCGCAGGAAAGTACCTGAGGCAGCATCCAAACTATAATAGCTGCTCTCAGAATTGTTTTAAACATCAGATAACTTTCTTCCTTCACAAATGGAACCTGATTCAATGAAAGCTGACGAGGGGGGAGCTACTGTGGTTGGACGCAAGGTGAAGCAGAGGGCCTGGGACTCCATCCTCTCTATCATTCTCCATATCTTCTTGGTCCCAGCAGCCCCTGGGGGGCACATGTGCAGAATCCCACTATGAACCCATTTCATAGTTGGATAAACTGAGGTTCAGAAACAGGAAATCCCAGAGGAAAGCTCTGGCTAGGATGCAAGTGTAAACTCCCCTGTGCAAATAGCATGCATGTTACTTCCCAACACACGTCAGGGTCTTAACATCCTCAGATAGCTACGGGTTTTGCAGCTTCCAGGATACAGGAGAAGGGCAGAGTGGTTGTGAGGAAACCTCAAAAGTAGGGAAATATTTAGGATGTCTTATTTATTCATTCAATAAATACATGCTTGTATTTAATGAATACCTAACATATGTCAAGCACTGTTCTAAGACCTGAAGATTTTGTCATGAAGCTTACATTTTAGTGGGGAAGATAGACTAAAACGTCAAAGTAAATATATAATCTGTCAGATGGCAATAACCATTATGGAGAAAAAGGAAAGAGAAAGGTGATGGAGGAATGCTATTTAAATAGAGTGGCCAGAAAAAGGCCTCCCTGATAAGATAGCTTTTGAGCAAAGTCCTGGAGGAAGCCAGGGAGTAGTCCATGCTGTTATTGAAGAGAAGGACATTCCAGCAGAGGGGACAACAAGTGCAAAGGCCCTGGGGCCACACGTGCTTGGGTCTGGATCAGAACAATGAGGGGTGAGTGGTAGTGATCTGATACAGACCATGTAGGACACTGTAGGCCACTATAAGGACTCTGGCTTTTCTACTTAATGTTCTGGGGCCATGAGCAGAGAAGGAACATGGTCTGATTGACATTCTCAAGCTACTGTATTATCAGCACTGAGACCACCCACTCCAGCCCTCAGTGCCCACCGCCTTCCTGGTGGTCCCAGCAGCCCAGTAGCCCTCCAGTCTCATTTCCACAGGCTTAGCCTAGACCTTGGGGAAGATATAATAAGGATGATGATGACATCAACAAAACACTGAGGCTGTGCTACACTGTTCATATGCATGCATTTTACTCCTCAGCCACACTGAGAGACACATATTATTATTCCCCCCTCTTTATGGATGAACAAACTGAGGTGCCGAGTGAGATAGTGGATTATTCAAGGTTAGTAAATGAGGTGGGGTTTGACTTTAACTTCAGGCGCCTAGAGTGGATTTACTCTTTGCTGCTTCCACTCCAACAAGCAGCAGTACTCTGGAAAGAAAGAAATCACTCAAGGGGCAAATTGATACATGACAAACTTGAGAAGTATCCCAGGCACTGTGTCAAGGTTGTTATAGCATTAGCCCATTTAATACTCACAAGACCCTGTGAAGTGTGTACTATTATTCATCCCATTTTTGCTGTGAAGACTCAGAAATTTTCTACCAATCTGTAGCCTCTACCCATCGGCCCTGGCTGTGCCTTCTCCCCCAGTGACGCTCAGCTACTCAGTGTCACCATGAGACTGTGGGTAAACTGAGGAAGCCCCTGCCTACACCCCCCACGCCCCTCCACCTCTGTATTTCTCCTCAAAGCACCTGCCACCCCCTAACACACCATCTAATGTGCCTGTGTGTTGATTGTTAATATCTAGCACCTTAGCTATAATATAACATATTAGAATATAAGTTCTATAACATAAGCTCCAGGAAGACAAATTTTTGCCTGTTTTGTTTCCTACCATATCAACAAGTACAAAGAATAGTGCCGGGCTCATAATTGGTGATCAACAATATTTAACTAAATCTGTCAACCAATCAATCAATATGCAGACACCCGTAATGTCTGAAATGGTTACCTTATTTTATGGACTCAGGGTTCTGAAATTAGGAAAGAAACAGTCAACTTTTTTGTTTTTTACTCCTTTTATATCCCGAAATCCTGATAAAATGGGTTGGGAAAACTTCCAAAAAGTTGACCAGAGTGGATTTATTTCTGAAAGCCTCCCTCAGTTGAGTTACCAAGAATGTCAGGATGTCTCAGACACCAAAGTCTCACTCCTGCTGAGTCAGTTCACTTCCCAGCATTTGTTGTTGCGGTCCATGAATTCATACCTTGTTCTTGGTTGTTTCTTTTATGAATTGTCATGACGACAGGACTGTTTGTACAGAGAGGTGTTTTCTGATGGGATTCAAGTGTAGGTTCTGTTTATTGAGCATTCTTTTCTCGTTCTCGGCCCAGAGAACATGCAGTCTTTACCATGCACCCTGATCTAGGGGGTCAGAGACCCAAATTCAACTCGGTCGTTAACGAGCTATATGTTGTTGGACAAACACTGTATCTCTGGGCTTCAGTTTTCATCATCTGTAAAATAGAGATTGAAAAACTCTGGAATTTCAGAGCCAAAAGACACTCTAGAGGTCAATTATTCCAAGAGCTACACATGTAAATATCTCTGGAGCCCAGGAAGAATATGTAAATCTGTGAGAGAGTCACATTAAGAAGCTGTGGCAAAGCCTCTCCAACTGAAGTAAAAATTTAAAAATCAGAACTCACGTGCAGGCTAAACAGTAGCCCCTCTCCAGGCCCATTTTGGCCGATAGAGCTCCAGTTTGCAGTCCCTTTCTGGTTCTTGTCCAACCCTGCTAGTTTGCATATGAGGATACCGAGGCCCAACGATGGGACTTGAACTGTCAAAGGGATGAGTGACAGAAATAAGATGAAATACTAACGCCTGTCTTGTGCATCTCATGAGCTTCCTCAGAGGATTTGGGAAGCTGATAGGGTGAAACGCCTGTGAAGAATATGAAACACCACTGACTGGATGGCAAGGGGTTCCCATCACTTTATCTTTTGGCTGATGCTTTTCCCCCCTTTAAAATTGTTCCCATTTTTCCACTGATGGTTCATTTTCCCCTCACAGCAGGTTGGGCACACCTACACTGCCAGTGAGGAAACTTAGACTCCGCTTAGGAAAGAGAGCAGAGATTTCCGGGCTTGAGTAAGTCCAGCAGCCTGCTTGAGGCCAAGTTTGGTAGCAGAGCTCGGTCTGTATGTGGTGGGAGAAGCCCGCCTTTGGAGCCAGGAATACTGCCGAGTTCTCTCCCCAGCTCTGCCACCATCTGCCCATGGACAAGCTACTTAACCTGCTGTTGGAGGAATTAAATGAGAGCATATGTGTGATGCACCCAGAGTGAGCTGGCACAGTGCAGGCAGTCGATAAATGGAGCCATCTGTGTTACTGTGACTATTGCTTTTATTGCTGTGATCAGCTCCTGACAGCCAGGCCTTCCACCAAATGTATATATATATTTCCCCCATAAGTCTGCTCTGACAGCTGCACGCTTAGTCTACACAGATGCCCGTGGATGAGAAGCCAAAGGAATGGTCACTCGCATTCTCTGCTCCCGATGGCTATAATGAGATTAAAGACTTGAAGATTCAAACATAGCTTCACAAATGAAGAGGAAAGCCCATCAGTAGGACTTGCCATTTTTCATAACGTCTTTCAGACATGCCAGGCTATTGTTGAAATCGGGTGCAGTGCTGGGCTCAACTTAAGTGGTTGTGATAGATTTTCCTTAGAAAGAACTCAGTCTAGACCACAGCTTCGTAAAGCCCCTGCAGGGCTGGTCTGTGAGCTTGACAGAAACGAGACAGTTGGCGTCAACTTATGAAATATGGACTGTGGCCCCCACCAGGCTAAGCAGTCTCCCCCCGCCGCCCCCCACCGCTCCAGTTCACATCGTGTGTGTGTGTGTGTGTGTGTGTGTGTGAATCCCTGTGTGTGTTCATGTTTGAATGTGTGTGGATGTATATACATGTGTGTGAGACAGAAAGAGAGAGTAACAGTGACGTCATGAGAGTGTCTACTCCTAGGCCCTTCTCCCTACAGAGAGTAGCCGTCTTTAAAAATGTCCACAAACAAGGAAAGAGGGTGAGGACATTAGGATTTCATAGGGATTTAAGGAAATTATTTAAAAAGATGACCAAGTGTTTCCAGAGGCTGGCTCTGCCCTATATATACCTAATAGTTATAATAACAGGCAGGTGACATTTTTTAAAGAATTCTGCTGAGTCAAGTGTCATATTATCTCCACTAATCTTGGCTGCATACTCAAGGAGGCTGCCTGGAGTCTTCCCTTCTTAGGACCACTGCTGTTCTCTGTCCTAACACCTACAAGAACGAATAACAATAGCTATAGGCAACTCTAGGAGTAGGTTTTCTTAATCCTCATTTTACCAGCAAGTCAACTGAGACTCAGGAAGTTTAGGAAACTTACCCAATTTTTGTGGGTTGTTTTATTGCAACAGCCATGCTCTTTCATGTATGTACTGCCTGGGGCCGCTTTCTCCCTGCGATAGTGGAGTTGAGTAGTTGCTACAGAGACTGTCTGGCCTGCAAAGTCAAAACTATTTACTCTCTGGCTCTTTTATAGAAAAAGCTTGCAAACCCCTTGTTCTGTGTTTTAGGTCCCATGCTCTTGAGAACCACGCAGTCTGGCTAACCACGCAGTTAACATTTGGTGGAGTCCTGTTTTCATTGCTTGCTCTAAGGGGTGTTGGAGAGGCGTTTAGTTTGATCCTCCCAGCTAAACTGAATCTACCTGGGAGCAGTGACCCCTCATACAACAACCATGCTTAGGACCTACTATGGGCCAGGCTGGGCAATCACATTGCCAGCTGCTCCGATCTCTCCAGCTGACAGCTCACACTTAGTAGGTGCACAAGCAATACCAGATGGGTTGAATTAGGGCATATTTTACCCAGGTAGCAAGAAGGGAAGCCCTCTCTCGAGCACACCCAGCCCCTGAAGCCCCAGCAAGTGTGTGTGTGTGTGTGTGTGTGTGTGTGTGTGTGTGTGCGTGTGTGTGTGTATGTGTGTGTCGGGGGGGCATTTCCTGGCTCCACCTCCCTGAGGAAGCCCCTTTCTCACTGGAAGAAAGTCATCCTGTCTCTCCCCAGACAGCAGACAGCCCCCTCACTAATTACAAGAGCCTCCTGCAGCCCCTCGGGGAGCACTGCCTCATTTGAATTCTAACCCCAAAGGAAATCAATACCAATAATTATATCTGTTTCTAAAGTGACCTGCTAAGACCCTTTCTTTTTGCTGATCTCGTTTTCAACAGACCACAATTAGCCCTCTGGAGAACGCCATTGAGACCATGTCCACAGCCAATGAGAAGATCCTGATGATGATAAACCAGTACCAGAGTGACGAAAGCCTCCCCATTAACCCGCTCTCCATGCTCCTGAACGGGATCGTGGACCCTGCTGTAATGGGGGGTTTCGCCAAGTACGAGAAGGTGCGTGCTCCTGCTGTCCAGACCCTGGTGGGGGCAGAAGAGTGGCCGGAGGGCCCAGGGGCAGGTGCAGCTGCTTGTTACTCATACTGTGGCTGTTTGTCCCCCAAAGGGACATTTCAGCTGGGTGGGGCCTCATTCGTCTTCCAGAGATTTTACAGCGTCCTTCTCATCCCCTTCCCACCCTCAATGCCACACACTGCCCTGTGGCAGGAAGGAGCAGGGGTCATAAGGGCCCCTTAGCCACACTGGGCACCTCTGGGCACCTCTGCCAAGGAAAGGCTCTGGGATGACCATGAGCCACACCACAAAAGTAGAGGAACCGTGAATCAAAGTAATGATTTGAAATGTCTTCTACAAAAGGAAAGAATGAAACCCAGAACCTGTGAAAATGCAGAAAGGATAGATCAACTCTTAAGGGGGGGGGGGGATGGGACGGGTATTATCTCGATATCCAGATCATAAGGTCCCTCCAGAAATCCCACACATCTGAGTCACAGATTTCATTTTTAAGCCTCCTGGTGTCCATGGCAAAAAGGGAAAAGCCATCAGATATATGAGTCACATTACCCACTGGGAAAAAAAAATACCAATTTCTCAGTAGGGGGACATAGCTTTTCCTAACATGGAGGTAGAATAGAAAGACCTTACTGAGTTTTTACCTAGACCATATATTATAGGAGACACTGAGGGATAAACAGACTCCTCACCTTAGTAAATCTCATGATGAACCCCCTTTATCTTTTCTGTTATTCATTGATGCAAAACGAATACAAAACAGTAATATAATTCAGGGATAGTAATTCCAGTCGCCCAGCAGCCCTTCCAGCCACGCTCAGATGCCCCATATAACCATCATCGATGAGCCTTTGTATAGCCTTGAGGGCTGATAAGATATGTGTGTGTATACACGTGCACACACTGAGGGCGGGAGCCCCAGAAAGATCTAGGGGCTGCCAGGATCACACACAGTGAGGGAGGCGGAGGCGAGCTGGAATCCCTGACTGGGTTCTTTTCCTTGGGGGCAGTGCTCTCCAACTTGACCGTGCAGCAGAATCTCTTGCAGGACCTTTTAACACACAGCTGCACTCCCCCCACCTTCTGATTCAGTAGGTCTGGGTGGAGCCTGATAATTTGCATCTCTGACAAATTCCCAGGTGACGCTGCTGGTCTGGTCGGGGAGCCCACTTTGAGAACTACCTCCCCGGGGTCTGTGGCCCATTCATTCCCAGTAGGTACTGATCTGAGCCACCAGGAAGAGAAAGCAATGTGGGTGCCTACAGGTCCCTGCCCCATCAAATACGTGTGACCTCACTGCAGCCCCTCTCAAGCAGAACCCTCTCCCAGTGCCCGAGACAAGGGTTAAGGGGTCCACACCAAATGAACAGGAAACCTCAAGTACCTGTCTGCCCTCCCCAGGCCTTCTTCACTGAAGAATACACCAGGGACCACCCTGAGGACCAGGACAAACTGAGCCGCCTCAAGGACCTGATAGCGTGGCAGGTAAAGCAGAGCTGGGCTGGGGGACCTGTGCTCCCCACTTCTCCCCCCACCCATCTCCCTGTTTCGTATACTAGGCTGGCCCCTGGCTGCCATGACCTAACCTAACCTGTCCTCCTGTGCTGTGGCTTTTGGTCCCTCTCTGACTGTATCTCACTGTGGAGCTGGGATTTGGGGCACTGCACCTTTGGGATGCTGCATAGGTGCCTGGCAGAGATGCTGTGCTGCGTGCTGCTAAGACTGCTTTATTGATTGTTGAATTCAGGAGGTGGCTTGTCCCAGTGGGACTCAAATGAAAGCCAGGCGCCCCCCCCCACCCCCCAGCATGTGTCAATCGGATAATAGAAGACTTTGGCCCCCACCTTACCTCTCCTCCTCCTAAGGCTGACCTAGTTTGTTGCAGATAGTGCTCAGATGGATATCAGGTTTTAAAAATAATTGAGGCCTTTGTTTGGTTGGGTTTTGGTCAAAGGCGTACGTTCTGCACAAGCCGTTCAGCCGTCTGGAACCAGGGGACCTGGAAGGCACAGCCCTTCCCACTGGCCTGCTCTCTGCTGCTTGCTGGCCTTCCCTACATCCCTTCCCTCCTGGCACCCCTTCCCTCCCCTCCTGGCACCCCATCCTTTCCCTCCATGCTCTCCTTCTTTCCGACTTTCTCTCTGTGCATCTGTCTCGGTCTCCCTCTCCCAGAAGTTCTTTGCTTCTGTCCCTCCCCGCTCTGTCTCTTGCCTCTCTCTGCACACCCCACATCTCACTCCTCTCTCTGCTTCCCTCCCTCCTTCGCCCTTCCTTTCTCTGGCTTTCTCTCTCCTGTGTTTTCTCTCCCTCCTTCTCTCTCCCACTCCTTAGAGAAGAAACAACCCACCTGACACCTCCTCCAGAGGCTCTCAAAGGACCAGACTTTTGTCCTGCAGGCTGCAGCCCCGCCTCAAAAATCCCCCTGCTTTCCATAAACCACCCAACACGGAACACCGCTGGTGGGGGGGGGCATGCTCCCCAGGGCACAGCTGGAGGTCAGGGACAGCTGCCTGAGCTGCCTGTCCTCCCCCCCTTCTTACCACTCACCATGCACAAAAGAGCAGCTATTGTGCTGGGAGTTATTGTTACTCTGGGGAATCAGGGAGTGACAAACACTGGGTGCAGCCTCTTTTCTTAAAATAAGGATTCTGAATTCAGGTCCTTCTCTGCCTCTGCCAATTTATGCAAAGTGAGGCTTTAAAAATGAAACACCAAGCGCTGCACAGAAGTACTCCCTGAATGCATTTTGTGTGCCTGGAATTTTCTCTCCCTTCTTACCTTGTGCCACCGTGAACCCCACACGTCCCCAAGGTCCCTAGCCCATCGAGGCCATCATGCCCTTTAGTACTCCAATGGCTCCCTCTCCCCACTCCCAATTTGGAAGCAGGAAGGCCAGGCTTTGATTGGTTTCCTTCCTCATATTTCTGGGGTGCACCAGGGCGGGCTAAACTGTCACACACATTTATTTGGTTTTCAGATGTCATTCTCAATCCATTGTAGTGCCCGGGGCCTCTCCACTGGGTACCACTTATCACCTGGTAATGGAGTTTCTGTGCTGTGTCCACTGCACCTAAAGCCTGGACTTCAGCCTCACAGCACAGCTAATACCAGGCTGTGCCTTCTGAGGATGTTCTACCCAAGTCTCGGAGCTAACGGAGAGACACTACAAAGAGAAAAGGAGACTTTGAAAGCCCTATTAGATGTTCCAGCTTCTAGGAGCCGTTATTTAGGCCTCTGCAGACAGCACCCCCTAGTGGCCGCCCTCTCCCTAGCCCCATTCCCCTCCCCAGCCCCATTCCCCTCCCCGCCTTGCCTCTGTTACAGAGACCCACTCACCCCGGAAAAGGGGATTGCCCCGGGGCCCTGTCCCTCCCACCCAGAGTCCAGACACCCTAACTCTAGGCACCTACACTCCAGAGCCGCTGCCTTGCTCATGGTGAAGGCAGCCTTTTTACCTTATTGCACACAGCAAATTAGCACTTCCTGTCCATTCCATCTATTCTTGCGACTTAAATATTATTGAGTCCCTAGTTACTGTGTGCCAGGCAACAGAAATATAGTGCTGGACAAAATTGGGCCTGCTACCTCTTAATTATAGACTGCCAGATCTAACTGCTCTTGTGACAGCATTTCAACCCATCCCTCCCTCTGTGTTCGGTCTCTCGACTCCTCTTAGCTTTTCTCAGGTACCTGGTGTCTCCAATCCCTGAGCCCCTCCTGGTTCCCCAGAGGCAGATTGGCCTCTTCTTTTTTTTTAAGATTTTTTTTATTGGGGAATTGAGGGAGGGGAACAGACAGGTAGACAAATTGCCGTTTTGTTCTTCAGTCTAGTTGTGGAGGACATCGCTTTACTGGCCCATGTTGGTATGATGATTGCGCTCTTCCCGGGGGAGGCAGTCAGCCGCTGGTCATTGGGTGGCCGCTCACTGCGGCTCACAGCAGCTCTCACCGGCTGCCAGCTGCTCACACGCTGCCAGCCACTCATGTAGCTCATGGCAGCCCACTGCAGCCCCGCTGCAGCCTACGCCATCACCAGCGACTCACAGCAGCCCAGCTCCAGGTTGAGCTGTTGTTCACCATCTTAGCTGTAGAGAGGGCAGCGCCACTGGCCCTTAATGTGGGATCCAAACCGCAGTCCTGCTGCTCAGAGCTGGTGTCCCAAGTGAGCTCTTAACCAGCGCGCCACTCGGCCGGCCCAGCTTGGCCTCTTCTTATCACCAGCTCCCTTCTCTGCTCTGGAGGGTCCGTCACCATTCTCCACCCACCTTCACCTGACATGTTGTATGTCAGGTTTATAGGTGTTTCCTAGTTTTACCAAAAGTTTCAGTTTCTGCTTTGCTTTGTTGTTTTGGGGAGACCTCCAAGAGAAGGCGGCAGAAATGTCTTTATGTTACCAACCATGGAAAAGTTATCTTATTCCCTTCAAAATAATCTATTTCTACCTCTTTGCGCATCCCGCTGTGATTCCCTGAGGCCACGACGCTGCTTCAGCTCTTCCCTGGAGAGGCCACCATGCCTCCACTGCTGTGCTTCTATTATATCTACCATTTAGACAGCATCCAGTGAGTTCCACTGCTTATAAGTAAGAACTTAACTCCCTCGCACCAGTTACTTCCTCCTCCCTCAACTTCCCAAGGCTTTTGCACCATTTTAAGACATTCCCTATTGGCTGGTTAGCTCCCCGATATTAGCACTTCCATTTCTTTCTTCAGCAGCCACAGAAGGTGCACCTGGCTCTCCCGTGCTGGACGAGGCTGTGCCCACTCTGCCTTGCCTTTCAGCCCTTCCCTCTGTTTTCTCCAGAGTCTGACACTGTTCTTTCCCTTTTGCATCACCAAGAACTTCTTGGGCTTTAAGTCAAAGCCCCAGAGATTCTTCTGCTCTGGCCCCACACTCACCCTCCGATCCCATACAGGGGAGACTTCCCCAAACACACAGCCTCCAATGGAGGGGCAAGGGGTCCAACCCTCCAGTGGGCATGGCGGGTCTTCCTCCCCCATCCACAGCAAACCCCAAGGCTCTGGCTCTCCTGTTTCCCTGGGCTGTGACCCTGTGTGAAGTTCTCAGAGGACACGGATGTCCTGGATGAAGTCTCAGCAGGCAGGGGACTTCCGCCGCTCTGTGGGGCCGGCTCTAGGCTGAGCCCAGGAGGCCGGCCTCTAGCTCACTGTCCACCGCCTTTGTCTCCAGATCCCCTTCCTGGGAGCTGGGATTAAGATCCACGAGAAAAGGGTGTCAGAAAACCTGCGGCCCTTCCACGACCGGATGGAAGAATGTTTCAAGAACCTGAAAGTGAAGGTGGAGAAGGAGTATGGTGTCAGAGAGATGGTAAGCAGCCCATGCTGATGGGAGTGGAGAGGGGGGGCGGGCCGAGGGAGGACGAGGGGACTAGAGCAAAGAGACCTGCACTTGAAAAGGGCCCGAGGGCGAGCGTGGGTGGAGCTGCTGATACAAAGGAACCTTCCGGTAAGCTGGGTTCCTCAAAAGCCAGCCTCAGACAGACACGGTATAAAACGAGCCCTTAGCACTCAAGGGACTTGCTAATAATAAAAGCTGCATGCATGAAACACCTACTATGTGCCTTGTCCGGTCTAAGCCCTTGATGTCTACTAGGTCATTGAGTCCTCACAGGGAGCCTGGGAGGTAGGGAGGATTTTAACCCCTTGTATCCCTTCTGGAGGGTCAGGGGTGTGAAGTAACTTGCCACAGGCTACATAGCAGGTGAGCACAGGTCAGGATTTGTCCCTGGCTCCATTGGCCTCCAAAGCCAGTGCTTTTGGCCACTAACAAGCTCCATGTGGCCCAGTATTCAGAGGGAGGTCTCCTTTGCCCTCTTCTCCAGAAAGTGGAATAATGAAACGTCAAGCCCGCGTGGTCCCTAAGAGGCCATCTGGCCCAACGCTCTGATTTCCCAGATGAGCAAGCAGAGGCCCAGAGCGGGGAAGTGAGCTACTGGAGTAGCGCGGAGGGGAACCCAGGCCTCCCGTCTCCTGGTGGAGTCAGCCCAGGAGGCAGGCTGCCTGTTCCAGCACTGCCTTCCTGACACCGCGATGCAGTGCTCATGTTAACTACCAGACTTAGGGCAGATGTCAAGTGCAAAGTCCTCCACAGACCCCCCCTCACTTCAGGCACCAGCCACCAGCTCCTGAGTTCCCAGGCCACCTGCACCTCTGACCAGCTTGTTATAAACATTGGGGTTCCCACTACCCCTTCAGGTTTGATAATTCCACACAACTCAAGAAAGTACTATACTTATGATTACAGTTTCACCGCAAAGGATGGACCAGCCAAATGAAGACATGCATAGGATGAGGTCTAGGAAGGTCCCAAACGCACCATTTCTGTGTCCTCAGGACATGTGAGCCTGAGCATAAGTGTCCAGAGATTTTATTGAGGTTTCATTATAGTGGCATGACTGGATGCATCGCTGGTCACGTGATTTAAAAGTCTAGCTGGCATGGTAAGGCTCAAAGCCCCAGCCCTGTAATCACCTGGTGGGTCTTTGTGGCCTGGTCAGCCTCCACCCTGAGCCTTCTCATTAGCATAAAGGGCCACCACCAATAACAAAGACACTCCTGTCACTGGGGAGATTGCCAGGACTCAGGGATCACCTCCCCAGCCAAATGCCCTATTAAACAACAAGCCCCCTAGCCCCAGCACTCCAGGAAGCCGTCCTGCCGCCCTGCTCTGCCCCACCGCGCCTCCCAGCCCAGGTGGAGAATGAGGCCTCAGGAAGGCAGAGGCACACTCCTCCGCCCCCACCTAACGCTGGGCCCGGCTGCTAACCATCCTGTCCGCCCCTGCAGCCCGACTTCGAGGACAGAAGAATGGGGCGCCCCCGCTCGATGCTGCGCTCCTACAGGCAGATGTCCATCATCTCCATGGCTTCCATGAACTCGGACTGCAGCACCCCCACCAAGCCCACCTCTGAGAGGTAAGCCCCTGCCCCCCTGTCCCCCGCCCAGCCCCCAGCAGAGCCTCACTGCTCCTTCTGTCCCAGGACCACCATCCTACCACTTTTCTGCCCTTCTGTTGGAAAGCCTTTCCCCACCTGGCACCTCATTAAAACCCTCACAACCCCTTCCCCCGTGAGGCTGCCACCCTAGTGCCATCATTGCAGGGCCATTCGAGGCCTGAGAGGCAGGGCGGCCTTTCCTGAGGGCCCCACAGATGCCCCGTTCAGGGATCTCTGCCAGCCAGACAGCTCCTCACAGAGCCTGCTTCAGCCTTGACTCTCCTCACCTCTGCCAGGGGCCTGCCCCTCCCAACTCCCCATCAAAGAGCCCCTCCTCCCGAACCCGCCATACCTCCCTCAGGGTCCCCCTTCCTTCACCCCACGAAAAGCCTCCCTGGTTCCTCCTTCCTGGGGCCCTCTGCTCCACTCCGCCCAATTCAACTACTGTAATAGTAGGTACTGTGAATTGAGCATTCTCCATGGGCCAAGAGTGTGCTAAGGGGTCCTCAGGCCTCACCTCATGGCCACTCTGCAAGGTCGCTGCCAACACCCCCACTTACTAAAAAGGAAATAATGGCTCAGAGAGGTTGAGTGATTTGGCCAACATCATTCAGCTAAAAAGTGGCATTGTCTAAATCTGAATCCAGATCCAGTCTTTCTTTGTATTTTGAATGTTTGCAAATTAAGCAAATGGCTCCCCAAACCCTGCCAGGTTAGCTGATCCCCCTCCCCATCCTGTGGTGCCAGCTCAGTCAGCCTGGGTCCCTGCAAGGCAGTTCTGCTGAAGCTCTAACTGCAGTGCCCACTGCTGTCCCTCTGGCCCTTCAGCTTTGACCTGGAATTAGCACCCCCCAAGACCCCGAAAGCGGAGCAGGAGGAGCCCATCTCCCCGGGGAGCACTCTGCCGGAGGTTAAGCTCAGGAGGTCCAAGAAGAGAGCCAAGAGGAGCAGCGTGGTGTTTGCAGATGAGAAGGCAGCGGCCGAGTCGGACCTGAAGCGGGTGAGCGGCCGAGCCAGCGTGCCCATCCAGCACCCTGAGCAAATCTCTCCTGCGTGCCAGACGCAGGACCCAGGACCCAGGACCCAGACACAGTCCCACTCAAGCCTCTCTTTCGCAGTGCAGTGGGGGTAACAGCGGCAGAGTCCGGGACAGGGAGCTGGAGTGCTTGGCAGTGCCATGCGGCCTGGACATGACAGAGCCGGGATTTGAACCCAGGCCGCCAGAGTCCAGCCTGTGTGTGTCTTTTCTGCCATCACACAGGACTTTGTGAGGCTGGGAGAAGCCACAGGTTTCACCCAGTGAAAAAGAGAGCAGCCTTCGAATGCTGGGCCAGGCGTTCCTACCACTCCTGCCCTCTGTCCCCAGCCCCCAGGGCCATTCTAACCGCTGACACCTCAGACTCCACTAGCTTGCTCCGGTGTGGTGGGAGCCCAGCTGGGGATGCAGAGATGAAAACCTCACTGCCCTGACTCTGAGAATTTTCATCTTATAAACTAATAACTATTTAATATGAGACTTGGTTCCATTGGCTGCAAATCCTAGCTTCCCCCTGAAAGAGAGGCTTGTTGACGATGTTCTGGGAGCCTGGGAGGGGGAGAGGCATTAGCTGTCCTTGCAAGGAAGGGGTGCCAGGTGGAAGGGCAAGGGGCCAGCAGAGATGCCTTCCAGTGAAGAAAGGATCTTACACAAACTTCCCAGCAGGCCTCAGAGGCTACTCTTGCCAGGGAGAAGGCTGGAAATAAGATTTCTGTGTTTTACAACTCTAGGGGTCGTCATTCACATGATAGTCTAAAAGAATGCCATCTCCTCTGCTCCCATGAGTTGTATAGTGTGCAACCTGTGCAACTGTACATGCAGGCTGGCAAGGAATGATAGAAAACAGAATAAATGAGCTTGGAGCTGGCTCCACAGATGAAGTGCCAAGCCCTTATCACTAACTTTTCAGGTCCCAAACTGCCTCATGCTAACTCTCCATGGTGTGTGTGTGTGTGTGTGTGTGTTGTATTCATTCAGCTTTCCAGGAAGCATGAGTTCATGAGTGACACCAACCTCTCGGAGCATGCGGCCATCCCCCCCAGGGTGTCCATTCTCTCTCAAATGAGTTTTGCCAGCCAGTCCATGCCCACCATCCCAGGTATGCAACCTGCCACCACCAGCACAGAGGTTTGGAGCTAGTCTGGGCCACCAGCCTGGGGGTGGAGAATGGGTTTCTGTACAGTAAAGTGGGCCAGGCATCCTGGGGGCAGAAGGCTCTGCTCAGAGCCACCCCGTCTTCTGAACCGTCCCCACACCGATCCCTCCTGTGTGTGAAGCCATCCCAATAAGCCCCACCTGGAGCTGGGGTGGAGGCCTGCTGTCTCTCTGGACCTCAGGATTCACCGGAAATCTATTTGTCACACCAGGTAGCCAGGTGTGACCAGGTAGCCAGGCCTCCCTAGGGGCCAGAAGCCTGCCCCTGACATGTCCCGAACCCCATGTTCCCTTTTTGGACTTGGAAGACTATTTCTGGAACTCACAAAAATCACCTCCACATCTTATAGTTGCAGAGTATCTGATGCATAGATGCTACTGCTTTTCCCCCATCACTCCTTCATTGTGCCGTGAGGAGGTTAGCAGCGCACAGACCACCATTCCTACTTCACACAGGGGGCCTGAGGCCCTCGCTGGGGACGTGATGTGCCTAAGAGTGCTCCTTCTGGCATGCAGCAGTCCCTAGCACCTGCCACTCTGTCTCTGTGCCAGGCTCTCTGTGCCAAGGGCTAGGGGCACAGAGGGACCAGACAGACCAGTGTTGCCCCCAGGAACCTGGCAGGCAGATCTCTGAGAAGACGCCTGCTATTCCCTGTGGAGTGACCGGTGCCAGGCCTTGTGCAAACTGCTTCTCCTTCATTATTGTATTTACCCCCCAGTGCCCACCTATGAAGTAAATAATGTCATTAGCCCCATTGTATGGATGAGGACACTGAGGCACTGAGAATGTCTATCTCTTGCCTGTCACTGGCTAGAAAGTGGCAGAGGCTGGGTTCAGACCCAGGCCCTCTGCCCCTGAGCCTGACCCCCCCCCCACAACCACTGCCTGCCATACCAGGCGGGAAAGCCCCCACGAGGAGGTGGAGTTTGGGCACCCAGCCATTTCACTCTGATCCTCTAGGCAGGCCTCACAAGACCCTGGCGGTCTGTGCTCTTATCCCCATTTTGCCAGTTTCCAAACCGAGGGTCAGGAGGTAGCTGATTTTTCAGGTCTGTGTGACTCCCAGCCGGGGGCCATAACTACCAGTCCTTCCCACTAGCCCTGCCTTTGGGGAACACGAGAAACCCAGGTGCTTGCTGTTAGAAGGTGAAGGAAGAGTGGGCTCACACTGTCTCCCCACCTGGCAAGAGGTCATGTTCCCTGAAGAAGTCAGGGCCCCAGAGGCCGGACCCTTCCCCACCTCAGCCCCCACGTTTCCAGCCCCGAAGCCCTCCAAGAAGCTTTAACGGGGCCGGCTACTGCCTGTGGGGTTTGGTGAGCCTCGCCCAAGCGGGCAGCATCAATAGACCCCCATGGCAGGACATGGGCCCCGCCTCCTGCCTGGCACCTGGCCGTTTTCTCTGGATTCTGTCCCCTGGCCTGTCTCCCATCTGCCTCCCCGCAAGTCACCCGTTCTGTCCCTGGGGCACCGCCTCTCCGCTACCTACCCACTCATGCCCGCTCTCTGCTCTCCTTCCAGCCCTTACGCTCTCGGTGGCAGGTATGTCTGGGACAGACGACACCAACCCTTCCCCCCGCCTCAGCCAGACCTTCCTCGCCCTCTCAGACGGTGACAAGAAGACCCTCAAACGGAAGAAAGTCAATCAGTTCTTCAAGACAATGGTGAGGACCCAGATGGGTGGAAGGATGGAGGGGGGTGGGGGATGGAGGGAGGGAAGACAGCAACTCAGAGGGGAGAAAATGGAGAGGGGGGGGGAGGGAGAGAGAGAGAGAAAGAGAGGACACACCTGTGTGGTCACCAGAGAGGCATGACGGGCCCTGAGGGTTGGGACACTGGTCAGCGATGCCCAGGGTGCAGCTCTCCTCTTGGGCTCTGGTCTCCCCTCTGAGCAGGACTAACGCCAGCTGGGCCGAGGGGATGTGCCGGTCCTGGGACTCAGAGCCCGGGACTGTCCTTTGCCTAAACTGCCCTTTGCTTCACCTGTCATAGCCGCAACGGGCTGCCATCTTTGAGGCAGAAAGTGCTTTTTAATTGTTTTGGGAAAGTTTTCCTATTCAACTTATATTACAAAATCCTACTAACTAAAAGTTTCCTTCCTAAAGCTAATAAAAAATTTTTTTTTAAAAAGCTAGTTTCCAAGCCCTGACTGTTCAAGTGCTACCTGCTATTGTCACTTGTGGGTCTTTGCTCAACGGAAAGAAGGCACTGTTGACACTCCTGACCCCCAAGGTGCCCCTACACCAGGGCTCTGCTCCTGTAATAATCGCAGGCTCACTGCGCATGTGCAGAGCAGGCACCGTGGTGAGCACCTTCCCAACGTGCTCCCACCCGACCTCTGCTCTCCCTGAGGGGGGTGTCTGAGGCTCCCGGTATCCGGGTAAGCAATGCACTCAAGTTCCCGGCGTCCAGGAAGCAGCAAAGCCCGGGCAGTGTGACCACTGGGAGGTGCTGCCTGCCTGGCCACACTACAGGTCAGGATGGCCCACGCTCACCGTGATCCAGGACTGGGGAGCCCCACTCCGATGCGTGTGAGAACCCTATTCTGAGGCAGCGCTGTTTCTTCTCTTCTCCCACAAAGCTGGCCAGCAAATCTGCCGAAGAGGGCAAACAGATCCCCGACCTACCATCCTCTGACCTATGAGACGTCGCTGACCAGGGCTGTGTGTGGGGAGCCAGTGAGAGGAACTTCCAGAAGAGGGACAGTGGGACATTGAAGCCTGAAAGGGCTGCCTTCACTCAGACAGAGAAAGCGGCCTCATCTGGGCCCCACAACGTCAGTGGTAACAGGCCAGCATCTCCGGGAGCAGAGACCCAGGTGGCGGGTGAGGACCCCCCACCCCGATTCTTGGCCGCACGGGGGAACCAGCGTGGGTGCTTCCTCCATCATGCTCTCCCCAGCATCCTGGGCATATCTCTTTATAACCCAGTTTCTTAGGTATAAGGAGCTGTATTTTTATTACCTAGCCCTTAATAGAAAAGCCTTTTAAATACTCTTTTATTTTATTTTTGGTTAACAGTTTTGTAGTTGATATTTTTTTAATACAAACAACCAATCTTTTTTCTAGCTGATCATCTCCAAAGTGTTACTATTTCTTACTGACAATAAAAAATGGTTCTGTGGTTCAAGTAAGCCGTGTTGCATAATTCTGAAGTCAGCTAAATCCTTGAGGCCCCGACTGGGCAGGTGACCCCTGGAGACAGTCGGGAGGGCCCAGGGCCTGCAGCGATGTTAAGGGGCCCGGCTTCAGCTCGTCCCAATGGCTCATTTGGCCACTTCGTTTGTCCCACCCGCAACAATCTTCTCCATGACGCTAGTTCCTTAGGGGCTGAATGCTGGAGTATATAGATGACAGAGAAGTCTTCCAGCATCTTCCTCGTGTGATCTACACAGTGGATAGTTTCATATACCTTTCTCTGGAAAAAGATGGCAAAACCAGCCAACAAAAGACTTACGATTCAGGAAAAGAGAGGGCTGAGGTCCAGTGAACGTATGGTCCAGCCTTTGCATTTGTCACCATGTCGGAAACGGTGGTTTTTCTTGGAGGAATCCCCAGGCTCCTCAGATGAGGCCTAAGGGAGGCAAGGAGCTCCTGCAGGCCAGGAGGAGAGGATGGGGACAGAGGCCACCTCCACAGCCCGCTGGGGACCGTGCAGGGAGGGGTCTTGGCGGGAGGCTGAGGACTCCATTGGGAAGGAAATGGATGCTGGGTGAATTTTAGGTGCATGACAACGTGGGGCTGAGTCCCTGAGGCAGGTGAGGGGTGGGAGATAATTATTCAGCTCTGACTATCCCCAGCTCGGTGTTCTAAACGTGACAAGAATTAGCTCCCTAATCTTGATAGCAGCCCTGGGAGGTACGTATCACCATTACCCAGATGGAGAAACTGAGGCAGAAAGTGACCTAGATCGTATGTGCGGTGAGTGGAAAGGCTGGGATTCAAGCCTGGGCAGCCAGACGGAAGCTTGGCTTCTAACCACTGCCCTGCGCAATCTCTTGGACACCTCTGTGCGCAAGACACCCTGAGTCCCTGGAGCCCCCATCTACCCGCCTCTTCCCGGTGTTGCCATGTCGTCTCGCCAAGCCCCAGACCTGTTGCTGCTCCAGCTTCCAGTGTTCTCAACAGTCCCCAAAAGTCCTGTTATGGCAGTGGATGGGGTTTTGGCCATGTCATGGGCTCCGTAAGGTGTGAGGTCAGCACCTGGAGGCTTGGAATCTAGCTGAATGCACTTGCCAAACGAGCAAGGAAAGTGCATGTGGACATAGAATAGGAAAATTCCCAAGAAAATGAGCGGCTGGATGACACCCCCGCACTGCCCTGAGCATCTCCACAGCTGCAGGTGTGGACCTTGGAGCGTGTGTGTGCCTTACCACATCTGTCAATCCTGTTCCACCCTTTTCCTAACTCTCCAAGTTATAGGTTTGAGCTTTTCCTTTCAGTCCCAGCTAACGAAACCCCAATGTTTAACCAATTTCAAAATGTTTGCCTTTCCAGCAAGTAGTGGGGAAAAAATCTCAACAATGACAAGAAAATGGTACCCCTCTTCCCACAACTGCAGAAAAGCAGATGCCGTCCTGTGCTCTGAAACCGCTGGTGTCTCACTAAAGGCTTGCAAAGCTCCCAGATTCAGAGACTTGCTTCATCCTGAGAAAGTCTGCTTGAACCTCCCAAAATTCCATAACTCTGATCCTCTCACTCAACGGTGCATGGTAATAGTATTTCTGAGTTCCATTTTCTGAAAATTATCAGTATCTGTGAGGTTTTTTTTATTAAGTCTAAAGGGACTGGGGCAGTCCCCCTTTTCCCATACAAATGGAGCAAAAAGTGAAACTTGTGGAATCTTATTTAAACAGAGTTTGAGAGTCGAATCTCGTGGGGTTTTTGTTGTTGTTGTTGTTGTTGTTGTTGTTGTTGTTTTTTAATTGGGAACCAGTCTGTTTTTCCAGGACCCATCAGCTCCAAGTCAAGTAGTTGTTTCAATCTAGTTGTGGAGGGCGCAACTCAGTGGCCCATGTGGGGATCGAACCGGAAACCTTGGTGCTATGAGCACTGCACTTGAACCACCTGAGCTAACCAGCTGCCCCTTGAATCTCATTTTAGTTAGGACTGTCATCAGATTGATGACCCAGTCGCGTCAGGAGAATTCCGGATGCTTCGGTTACATGGCAATAACAATGCCAATAGTAATAGCAATAACAAACAACCATAATATAGCTGCCATTTAACAGACACTTGTATTATCCTTTCCTTAAATCCTCAAACCAATCCCAGGAGAATCCCAGCCACACTCATGTGAAAACCCAGGCTCGGGGAGTTTACAATGGGCCTTGTCACCCGGCTGGTAAGGGGCACAGCCAGCTCTGTCCTCTTTCAGCCTCATGACCTTAACCTCCAAGATTTTCAGGCTTAAGTAGGAGAGAAATGGAGAGAAACAGGGCCTCCCCAGCATCTAAAATCAGACTGGTTTCTGCCCTCCAGACATCCTAACCTGTCACCCATCTGTTTGCTGCACCTTCTGAACCCCAAGTGCCTCTGCCTTCCTGTCATAGCTCAGGTTCCCAAGGAAACAGATCCTCAGGCAATGACTGAGGGCCCCTGCTTATTTGGGGGCTGTGCACAAGTGAGTGCCAATTAAAAAACTGTAGGTAAATCAGACTGCAGACCAGCACAAAGATGGCAAAATCACGAGGTGTGAGCCTCAACACGGTGTGACTGGCATTGCCCTCCCTGCACACCCCAGAACTGCTCCTGTGAAGACAATCGATTAGCATTAGTTTAATAAATGGAGGAATGATTACTGCCAACCAGCACTGCAGAGGCGTGTCCTAGGTTGTTTCTCTCGGTCCTTGCAACAGCCCTTCCAGGGAGGTAGCCCTGGTCCATCCTCGTTTTACAGATGAGCAAACAGAGGCTCAGGATTAAGCAACATCAAGGAACTCAGATAATGTAACCTGCGGAGGAACATCTGAACCCAGGCCAGCCCAACCACCCCGCCCTCCTCCTCAGCCTTCTAAGACATTTTGCCCCATTGCCAACCCAGGTCCCACTACTATTTCTGTCACAGTGGAGCTAAAGTGTTTTTCTCCAAGTATGCGTTTCCTCCTTGAAACTGGAGTTCCTCTTGGGAACCTGCCCCTTATAGAGGGCTCAGAAACCCTTGGCCTGCCCTGAAATGTCACCACGTCTGCAGTCGGCTTGCTGCTTTTAAAGAGATGGCCACCAGAGAGCGCCATTGGTCCATGTTTCTCCCGCCTGCAGCTCAGCCAGAAGCCAAAGAAAAGAGAGCGCTTCAGCCTGACTGGCAGCTGGCCCAGACTTCCCAGAAGCCCACACTGGGGACGGAGAAGCCAGCCCTATGGCAGGCCCCAAAGTGCTTGTGAACACGCTGCCCAGGAAGCACAGGAGGCCAGATAACAGCTCATGGCCGCTCATAGACAACTATTTGTAGACAGTAGGTAGAAAAACTGTGATTTCTTATCCCTGTTTTACAGATAAGGAAACTGGGGCACAGAGAGTTTAAGCTAGAAGCCAACTCATGGCAAATTCCCCTGATTCCCCATCCCAGCCTATCTTCACACTGTCAGGCTCCCAGAAAGCCTGGACCTCAGGAGGTATTTGTGTTGTCCGTGTAGAAAGGAGAAAGACCCGAGGAGCCACGCCCCAATCAAAGGAGAGCAAGGAGGAAGGCAGGGACAGTCCATGACCTTGGGAATGAGGCAGCCCCAGATGGGGACCGCCCGCCTCTCCGCCCCCCTCGGACTCCCTAGTCCCTCATGACATCTCACCTTCACTAAGCACGTACTAAGCCTGACACTTAGTCCCCAAAGCAACACTTGGAGGGTGCTGGGCTTCCCCATTTTACAGATGAGGAAACTGAGGCCCAGAGCAGTCGGTTGCCATGGGAGGTATTCTAGTGCCACACTAAGGAGTCGAGTCAGGACTGAGACCCACAGGCCTGGGCCCGGAGCCTGAGCTCTCTGCTCCCTGCCCCGCCCGGAGACACAACAGCAGCCAGTTCAGATGCCACCTGCCTCTTTTATCTCTCCTTCATCCTTCATGCCTGTGCCCCTGCCTGGTCCCCCACACAGACTCCCACCCCCTGGAAGTCATCCAGTGGTGGCTCTAGCCGGCCACGGTCTGGGTGGGGGCCCATGCACAGTCATCTTTCCTTCAGGCCTGGAGCCAGCCATGCATCCAGGTGACGGCTGGACACCCAGAAGAGTGGCAGGCCTTCCCGCGTTCCCCAGATATCGCCCCAAATAACACCATCTTCCCAAGGGGAGAGCAAACGTAAAAGGCTGGCTGGAGGAGGATGGACGCTGGGCCTCCTGCCCGGAGCCACCTCCCTGTCAATCACCGTCCCCTGGTGCACAGCATTCATCACTGCTGTGCTCGTTCGTCATCAGCAGTTTGCGGCCAGATCCCGGCCTCTGCACTTTACACACATCGCACCCCTTTTCCTGCCAGATTCGCACGCGATAGGCTCTATTTGCAGCTTCAGTTTAATAGATGAGCCAGCCGAGGCCTTGTGAGATTAGGAAGCGTGGCCAAGATCACACGGCTGCCTAACAGCAAGGCGGACATTGGAACCAGCTCCACCCGACCCCAGTGCCCATGTTTTCATGTTCTACTGCCTCGTTCCCAGTAGCCCAATTTGAGGTTCAGAATATATGGTCTTTCTAACGCAAGGAGGCCCCTCTGGGCTATAATGTGCAAAATGTATTCCCAAGGGGCTCAGGCCCCTTCTGCTGAATGTTTTGTTGTTGTTTTGTTTTTTCCATGATGTTGATCAGGGCTTATCTTTTCAGGTTTGGATTTCCGCTTCTTGGACGTTTCAAAAAGCCTGAAATAATTTCATCCACAAAGAACTCTAGTGAATAGAGACAGTTGATTGTTTTCCCAGGGGCCCTGGAACGTGTCAGGAGGCTCCCGGGCTGTAACTCCCCAGCCTCCCCTGGAGTAGGGACAGGCAGCTCCCGTGACCACCCCAAGGATTGCGGCTGTGCTCCTGAAACTCAGAAATGAAGTCCTCGGGATGCGTTGGGCAGCCCTGGCCTGGCCTGTGGCGAGGTGCAGGGAGGGTAAGACAGGCAGTGATGCCCAGTGGCTCCACGTGGACAAAGCCTCCTAAGACAGACCAGGCATTCTCTGGTTTCCAGGGGAGAGAACAAGCACTGGGTACCACAGGGAGATGCAAGTGAGCATGTCTCAAAAAAACCCCTCTAAGAAAGGCGACCCCAGCAACAGGCAAAGGGCAGAAGAGGGTTGGAAGACCAGGTCCTGACCCAGCTCAGCAGTGAACTTCCCACATGCCTCAGCCTCTCTGAGCATCAGCTGCAGATGGCAGGGCCCATGGCACCATCGGTGTCTGCACTGTGTTCCTCCCTTCCACCCTTCACTGTAACCCCCACCTGCCACACCACGCTGCCTACCGGCTGCTGAAAGGGAACCGTTAACTCACAGGGCAGCAAACTCAGAGATGGATTGCACACGCCGAGTGTGTATTGACTATCCCATAATATCCGGTATGTATTGAGTGTGCCTCTGCGCCCCTTGTGAAATGATCCACACTGATGACATCACTTCCCTCGGCCAATGCTCACAGTCGCCACATGAGTTAAATAATGGCATCATTTCCAGTTTTGCCTGAGAAAACTGAGGCCAACAGCGTTAAATCCTGTGTCAAGCTTTGCACAGTTATTCAACGGCAGAGCTGGGCATTAAACCCGGCTTCCTGACCTCAGAGCCCGTGTCTGCTGTGTCTCTACTCTCTTGCCTCTTGCTGGCCTTTCACACTGAACCCCAAAAGTAAACCACCTGTGTGTTTGCCTTTCTCTAACATTTAAATCAGAAACTACAGAAAACAATAAAAATCAATGTAATTCTCCATGCAGAAACCATAATTGACAGTTTAGTGCTTATATGAACATTTCCATACATATGTATGAATATATATTTTTACCACCCCCCGCCCCCCGCCAATTATGGTATTTTGCAGCCTGTTTCTCTGAGTAGTAGTATTAGAGCATATCAGTAAATATTCTACGATCTCTTTTTTCATAGCTGCCTATTTCATCATTTAGATGATATGAAGTGTATTTAACCAACCCCCTATTTTGGGGCATTCTGGTTATTGCAGTTTGGTATGACTATAACTAATGCGGTGGTGGACAGCACTGGCGCTAACTCTTGCTCTGTTTAATTCTGTAGGACCAATGATCCAAAGCGGAGTTGCCAGGTAAACTGTACGGCTTTAGTCTGTGTTGGTGGGCTCCAAAGTGACTGTTGCTGGAGCCTAGCAGAGACACTCGAAACCCAACAGTGGCCTCTTTGCTTTACTCCTTGGAAAGAAAGTGCAATCGGGCCGTTGCGGAGTCACCCTTCAATGACTGTTCCATGGTGGGAACATGTGGTTCTTCAGGGGCTGGGAGGACCCCTCCCACCCAGTTACCAAGACCATCCCTCTGGGCACCAAGACGCTGCCAAGGAGATTCATTCTATGACACTGAGGCTTTGCATGTGTCAGGCAGCGTGAAGATTTCCACAAGAAGCACCTCCTGCGGGGACAGTAAGTGACCTCCTTCATTGGTCTCAAAGACACATGGAGTTTGAAGGAAAAGAGAGGAGGTTGAATGGGGAGAAGGAAGTAGAAGTGGGAGCGCAGGAAGGACGTGGGGACCAGAGAGGCTGGCTGGAACTTTTTCCTAATTGGCTGATCCCAGAGAGAAGTCTCAAGCTGCTATGAAGACCTGCTCAGCGGACAGCTGCCCACCCCCTGAGAGGGGGACCACCACCCACTCGCCAAGCTGAGGGCCTGTCCTGGGATGATGGTAGCTAGGATGAGTCCTGTCCAAGCTACAGATGGAGAAAGGAGCCCAGACAGGGGAGACACTGGCCCCAAAGTGAGACGCTGGGGGCTGGAACTCCTGTTTCTGGAGCCCGAGGCAGAGGAGGGTGAGGGGAGCAGTGAGGGCTGTCCTGGTCGGCTCTCAGGGGCCTCTGCAAGCTGAAACATGAAAGGACTTCGATCAGATAAGGAACCTGCCCTGTTCCTGTGGCCAGAAAGAAACTTGGGTAGGGCAAGCTCCCTCTCATTTGTCCCTGAAGTCCCTTTCACATTCTCTTCCACTTGCTATTTTTATAAGCCCTGTTGCTCCTTTGGAATAATTCCCAGGCCTGGTCCACAGCCCTTTTTCCCTGCCTGCCTGCAGTGTGTGTGTGTGTGTGTGTGTGTGTGTGTGTGTGTGTATGTGTGTGCATGTGTTTCTTGTGTGAATGTGTGTGTATGTGTGTGTGTGCGTGTGTGTGTATGTGCGTGGATATGTGTGTGCATGTGTTTCTGTGTGAATGTGTGTGTGTGCATGTGTGTGTGTGAACGTGTGCATGTGTGTGTGAGTGTGAACATGTGCGTGTGTTCTCCTTGCCTTGTACACGTGCGCATGGTGGGGGCTTGTTGTCTCTGCTCTCCTGATTCTTCAGGGCCAGGTCCTTTTCTGGAAACTGCAGAAAGCATGTCTTCGCTGCAAAAGACCAAAATGTGGCTTCTGACAAAGTGTCTCATGCAGTCCGGGTGAGGGGCAGAGAATGAGGGGTTGGGTGGAAAAGAAGACAGGACAGAGGGATGGGGAAAGAGACGCAGAGCAAATGTGAGACAGAAAGGGAGGCCAAGAGTGAAAGGAAGGAGGGAAGGAGAGACGGCGAGGAAGGGGTGAGAGGGGAAAGACTAGAAGGAAGCTAGAAGCAAACTCGGAGAGGATGTGAGGGGAGCTGTGGAGCTGTGCACAGGACAGAAACACATTCAGAGGCAGAGAGGGGAAAGAAAATGTGGAAGAGAGAAGGAAAAACAAAGATGCACAGAGGGTGGCAGGATAGAGAAGGAAGGAGGGAAGGTAGAAAGATGTGGGAAGGTGAGAAGGGGAAAATGAGACAGAAGGAGGAGGCAGAAATTGGGAAATCGTGTGAGAAAGGAGACAGGACAAGGAAAAGGACACAGAAGGAAAGGGGAAATGTCTGCTATGATGCTGGTCTGAGCATGTCATTAGCGGGACCTGATGTGGCCGGCTGGGTGGCAGGGTGGCTGCTGGAGGGCAGAGGGGCGGGTCTGCTGCAGGTGGCCGCCCCTGGGTGGGGCCGCCAGCCAAGCCCGCAGGGGTATAAGTCCGAGCCCGGGACCTGCCGAGCACCTGCAGGGACAGCTCCCCTGTGCAGGTGCCAGGCAGGTGGCCCCGCGGAGCCCAGCCCCAGCATGAGCTCCTTCGACCTCCCGGCGCCCTCCCCGCCCCGCTGCAGCCCCCAATTCCCCAGCATCGGCCAGGAGCCCCCCGAGATGAACCTTTATTATGAGAATTTCTTCCACCCGCAGGGCATGCCCAGCCCTCAGCGGCCCCCCTCCTTTGAGGGGGGCGGCGAGTACGGGGCCACCCCCAACCCCTACCTCTGGCTCAACGGGCAGGCCATGACCCCGCCGCCCTACCTGCCGGGCCCCAACCCCAGCCCCTTCCTGCCCCAGGCCTACGGTGTGCAGAGGCAGCTGCTGCCTGGCATGTCCGGCCTGGGGGGCGGCGACCTGGGCTGGCTGCCCATCCAGTCCCAGGAGGAGCTGATGAAGCTGGTGCGGCCCCCCTATTCCTACTCAGCCCTCATCGCCATGGCTATCCACGGGGCGCCCGACAAGCGCCTCACCCTCAGCCAGATCTACCAGTACGTGGCTGACAACTTCCCCTTCTACAACAAGAGCAAGGCCGGCTGGCAGAACTCCATCCGCCACAACCTGTCACTCAACGACTGCTTCAAAAAGGTGCCCCGGGACGAGGACGACCCAGGTAAGGGGGCCTGGAGAGGGGTGGAGAGACCATCTGAGCCATCCACATGGAGCACGAGGCTCGCTGCTTTAGCAAGCCACTGGTGCCCCCCAGGAAGCGTCACTTCACTCCCCTGATACCCCATTCAAGAGAGCTCTAAATATGGCTGTCCCCCCCCAAGACTGGGCACTGAGAGGAGCTAGCAGTGAAGGAGAATGTGGGCCCTGGAGGCAGATGTGGGTTTCCATCCAGGCTGGGCCACTGAGCAGTCAGTGACCTTGGACAGGTTAGAGCTCTGAGCCTCAGTTTCCCCACCTGAAAAGCTGGGATGTTAGCAGTGTCTCCTCCGAGGCTTGTGGCTGGGGTCACGAGATGGTGTATGCATGGTGTTTGGTGCTCACCAGGGCTCCCTGCTCTGCAGTCATGACTGTGATTGATGTGAATCCCCAGCACCCAGCCATAAGCCGCTGAGGGATGGGCAATTGGACTAAACGCCCAAGGGCGTCCCAGGGCTGTGGGGGACATTACAAAACCTCTAATCACCCCTGCAGGGTGGCGTTTAGGAAACCCGTTCTACAGATAAGGGAAAGAACAGGCAGAGGTGACAGAAGAAGTGACAGTGCTGGAGTGACTCTGAAAGGAGGTGTCTCTAACACCAATGACAGCTTTTCCTTTTGGGCGGCGCCTTTCTGCAGAGATGTGCAGAGTAATATACTAAGTGCTTATGTCTCCACTGGCTAGAATCACAGTCCATTCTTGTTCCACCGCAGGAAGCCAGGGTGTGTGGTTCAGAGGAACCCATCTCGGCTCACTTTGAGGCTAGTGAGGGCAGGATTATATGTCCCTTCTCCTCTGGTAACTGGCCTTACCCTGCGGCCTAGGGACGGAGGCGGTGGCAGGCCGAGTTCAGGCCTGACCTCAGGACTGGACCTCACCGTTCCAAAGCCCTTTGGCACAGCTAGCATGTGTCCTTTCCACAGTCAGCCTGAGGAGGAAGGGACAGATACCACAGACCCACTTCTCAGACTAGGAAACTGAGGCTCACCTCAAGTCCCTCCATCAGCCAGAGGCGAAGCCAGGACTCTAGTCTGTCTTTGGATCCCATGCCCGGGGTATTTAGGGAGCCCTGAAATTTTTCCCTGTGTGTTCTTTCATGTCAACAATGGAAGCACCCCTCCCTCTCCATTCCCCCAATACTTGAACTTCTTAAAGAGATCTGCCCTGTGAAGGGCTTCGTGGCTCCGCCTTTCTGTCTTTGTGGTCCTTGGGGGCCCAGTCTCTGACTCTTGCTGTCTGTCTTTCTGGATTGGTTGCCTTTGCTTTTAATTTTTGACACTGACGAGGCACGGAAGCAGAGCGTTCCATCCGGCTCTCTACTGACCTTGTCCCCCTTTTGCACCAGGCAAAGGGAACTACTGGACCCTGGACCCCAACTGTGAGAAGATGTTCGACAACGGAAATTTCCGCAGGAAGAGGAAGAGAAAATCGGATGTTTCCTCCAGCACGGGCTCCTTGGCCTCGGAGAAGACGGAAAGCAGTCTCCTGGCGGGCAGCCCCAAGACCATGGACCCCCAGGACCTCTTGGACAGCACGCCGCCAGGCACCACCAGCTCCCCAGAGCAGCGGCCCTCCCCTGCCCCGTGCCTTAACAGCTTCCTCTCCACCATGACAGCCTATGTGAGTGGGTCGAGCCCCATGAGTCGCCCTGTGGCCACGCCAGGACTGAACCCTGAGCCTTCTGACAAGATGGGGCAGAACTTGGTGAACCTCAACTCCTATACCCCACTTACCAACCTCGGTGGCCATGGGGCTGGGAGCGAATGGGCCAGCCCCATGCCCACCAACACTCTCGGCTACGGAGGCTCGGTCCTCAACCAGTTTAGCCCTCATTTCTACAACAGCATCAACGCCAACAGCGTCCTCTACCCCAGGGAGGGCACCGAGGTCTAGGACTGACCAGCCCCAAGCCTGATGGGGACCCTCACGCCAGCATCCCTGTGGTCCAGCCCCTCTGAACTGCTCAGACAGACACAGGAGGCTCAGAGCAATTCATCTTTTTTCTAGAACACTGTACAAACCTTCTGTTTGTCACACATATATCCGTGCACACACAGCCACCAACTTTGCAATGAAAATGCTGGTCTGGATAACAGCGATCATGGTGGCCATTTATTGAGCAGTTATTATGTGCAGGGAGCTGTGCTAGGCTCTTTGAAGGCATGACCACACTTACTATTGAGTTACCTTGTGGAGTTCATATGAACTTCCTCATTTAACAGATGAGGAAACTGAGGCTCGAGGAAGTTAAGTCATTCTCCCAGGATCATTACAAAGTAGTAAGTGGCAGAGCCAGGAGTCAAGTCCTGTGTGACCCCCGAACTTTGGGCCAATGGGAGCAGGACTGGAGGAACAGACTGAGTAGCTAAAGAGGGTCATTGTGAAAGCTGATTATGGCAAGCGTGTCTACTGCCTTCTGGCTGTCCATCAGGATTTAGCACCAGCCCCGGGCACATCTTGTCCTGACCTAAGTCCTTATTCTGTGGCTCCCAGCTTACCTGCAGACATTCCATTTGCTGCCACTCAAGAAGGGGAGCCCAGACCATGCCCCTCCAGGACAACGTGTCCAGCCTCTCCCCACAGAGGGGCACTGCTTCCCCCACCCCAGAGACTGTGAGCAGGGCAGGGAGAAGAGAGGTACACCCCAAGCCCCCCACCTCAGCACTACCTACCTGCAAAGTCTTAGAAAGCCCAGCTGCTTGTGTGCACATCATGGACCAGTGAGCTGGAGGTGGCTGAGTCTTCCAAGAGAAACAAGGCTGAGTCCACGCTTCCCGTTCTGCAGCCCAGGAGAAGTGGATGTCTGAAAAGCAAGGCCTCCAGGAACGGCCTGCTCCCACGGCCCAGGGCTCCATGTGCGCAGCACCCGGGGCTTTCCTTGCTTTTGTATGTACTTTACATGCTTGTGATCTTCATCACAGCACACCCTGGGAAATGTGTTTTTGTTTTATTATTTTCTTTTTAATTAAAACAAGCAACAAAGCAAAAAAAAAAAAACCACAACTGTGTGTGTGTGTCCCTTCCTTTGGGTTTCTTGTCCCTGGGCTGCTGGTGAACTCAACGTGGAGCTACGTGCAGCCTGAAGCTGGGGGCTTGGGAACAGGAGGCAGAGAAGAACGGGCATCAAGGCTCTGTCCTCCACACTGGTGTGGAGACAGGACAAAGGGCCCCAACACAAAGAGCGGGGATGGCAGAGATGGGGTGTGTGCATGGAAGGCACCCATTTATACTGAGCACAAACTGTGGATGGGGCATAGCCCAATCTTTACAGCTCAGGAAGTCTTCATAACTGCTGATTCTTTAATCATCATAAGAACCCTGTGAAGGGGGTGGTACTGTCCCATTACACAGAGGAGAACACCGAGGGTTAGGATGCTTGAGCAACTTGGCCTGAGGGCCCCAGCCAGCTCATGCCCAGGTCTTCTGAGCCCTGCACCTTATCCCGCTGCAGTGCAGCCTCAGATGCAGCTAATCCTTGTGGCAATGACAGCAGTGCGATTGGCTGCTGTTCCCGGAGGGCTGTGGGCAGGCACTGGGCTGAGTGCTGCCCTGTTGGGAGATCTTTTGTCCTCACAGCAACCCAGGAGTGCACACACTGGTGGTCCCCTGGGTGCCTGGCACAGTGCCTGCTGCAGAATTTGTGCATGGAAGCTGGAGGTCTTCTAGCTGGAGTCCCCTGCTTGGCTGTGCATACAGAGGGATGAAGTCAGGGCCCCTGGCCACCTGCACAGGCCATGCCAAGCTGCCTACTCAGACTCTGAAGGACACTCTGTCCCTGGAGTAACCGAGGGGAGGTGGTAAATAATAATAATGATGACAATAGCCCTCACTGCAGTTGACTATGTGCCGGGCACCATGTTAGGGCTTGACCTGTCCTACTGCATTTAATCTTCAAAATAAGCCAATGCAATCAATACTATTATCTCTGTTTTACAGGTGAGAAAACAGACCTGGAAAGAGAGGTCCTGTAACTTGATCAAGGACATGTGGCCAGGATTCAAATGGCGATCCATGGACCTGCTGAAACTCTCGGCTGGTGCACCTAATGCTGGGGAGCCCAGGACTCACCCATGAGAGGGTGGAATCAGGAAAACCGGGAAGAAGGCCCCCCCAGAACCCCCTCAGAGTCTTTCCTGGGGATCCCTTGCCGCAGGGAGCTGGACTTCTCCCCACCATACAGGTGGGTATGGTGGTGGCTGAGGGAGGTAAAGGCAAAGGACACCATGTCAGTCAGTAAAATGCCTTAGAAAACTTGAGACAGGCTGACTCCTTGCCGCACAGAAAGGAAACCGAGTCTGGGAGAGGAAGGGACTCCACAGATGTCACCAGGGAGATGGGATCCGAGGCAGAGTCCAAAGGGCAGGTCCCTTAAGCCTGGGCCAGGATTCTTTTTGTCCCATTAGATCCCACTGCCGCTAAATTTGCCCAAATTGACCCTGTAATCGCACCGTCTCCATCGATCACCTCCCTGCCTGCTCCTCAAGCCCCACTCCTACCCCACAGCAGGTCTGCGGTGGGTACTGGCTGGGCAAAGCGCGGGGTGTGAGGGGTCCCGAGGAAATCCCGGTCATGCCCCGGAGGGAGACGGCCATTTAGAACCAAGGTCCGCAGCGCTCGAGTCTCCATTCCGCCTCAGCCCAGAGTTGAACGGGCACAGCAGTAGAGGGAATATTTGCAGGGCTCTGGCCGCACCGGGACCTGCCAGCCCTCATCTGTCTGGCGCGTGGGGAGTTCCTGGTAGCAGCGCCAGGAACTCACGGCAAGGCAAGTGCGAGAGGTGCCTGGCTCACACGGCTGCGGGGCGCGGCCCAGGCAAGAACAGGGTCCCCCCAGTCAGCTTCCACGGGTTGTCTCTCGCCCCTCAGTGGTTCTCTTCCTCTGAGAAGACATGAGACCTAGGGGGAGAGAGGACAGGACGGAGGAATGAGAACTGGTTATCCACTAAGAATCCAATTCTGTGTGCAGTGCTGTGATGGACACTGCATTAGTCAGCCTCCTGCAGTTTGGCATCGCATTGACATGGTCCTCAACACCAGTAAAGGGTCTGAGAAGAGGACTTCCTGTGTGTTGAAGAGCCCAGGAAGGCTACCTGGAGGAGGTGAGGCTGGAACCAAAGGACACCAAAGAACAAATGCAAAGAGGTCTCCAAACCACTGGTCTTACCCTCAAACCACCTACCTCCAACTTCCCCAACCCCTGAATTAGAGTGTCTACATTTCCAAGTTATGTACAGAGGGAAGGAAATATGCCTCAAAGCAGAATATACATGAAACATATATGACATTCTTCAGAGAAAAGGACAGCAGGATTTGGTGACTGAAGCTACAGGGGACGTGGGGGGTGAGGGAGAAGTAGGGGTCAAGAGCTCCCCAAATTCCTGGCCCAGGAGGCCAGACTTCCTCTTACACCCCACCCCCTACCCCGAGTGCTTCATTTTTGTTAGCATGGAAAGGATATTGTAAAGGCCAAATTACACAACCAAAGAGGAAACCCAAAGGCAGACGGAGGTAATAATAGAAAGGACTGTGGGGTTGACGTGTGTGATTCATTATTGTTCTTTAAGGTAAGAAGAAGAAAAAAGAATTGAGCCTGGATGAAGAAACTGGGCTTGGCTAAGCCCGAGGCTGTGGGAGTGAGTCCCAGAATTCCTTCGGGGCATGTGGTTGAGGGGTGAGGGGGACGAAGGGAGGAGGGGCTGCAAATACTTGAAGAGACATTTTGTCCCAGACTAGGAATGGGAAAATCGAGAGGACTGGGTTTTACTGCTTGCGAGGGAGGAGGAGGCTGGCAACGCTCCGCAGTGTCCCTACAGATGTGTCTCTGCCAACTTAGCTGGCTTAAAATACATCTTCAGCCTGGAGGAGGCTCAACCCGAGCCCTGTCTCTTGCAGGGGTTGGGGGAAAGGCAGACTTCAAGAAATGGAGCAACTAAAGAAGGTCGCATGGATAGGAAGTGGTAAAAGACATGCTAAGTGTCGGCCCCCAATCCTGACTCTCTGTGGAATCCGGTGCCTCTAAGTCACTCGGGTCCTGGGGGTTGCAATTTAGGACACGTAGGATCACCAGTGATCTAGCCACTAGCCCAATGCTTGATAAATATTTATATAATTTCCCATTGCTCTGGTATCAGAGCAGAGGATAAGAGGAAAATCCATCAGCCTGGATATGCCAGGAGGGGAGAAAGCGCCAGCTGGAACAAGGGGTACTTTTAACAGGTCTTCTTGTTAGATCTGCATGCCCCGCTGAGAGGAGTGAGAACATTTGAACCCTAATTTGACTATGGTCTGTAAAGAATTTTTAGACTCTGTATGGATGTAAGACCCCCAAGAACATGCACAGACTAAAATGATGAAACCACAGTCTCATGACCTAGGTCAAAGGTAGCAGACTTTAAAAACAACAAGCATTTTAGGCTTTGCAGGCCTAGAGGCAAAATCTAGGATACCATGAAGGCACAAGAGAGCAAAAACTTCTACAAAATCTTTGTTGTTGAAAAAAATATAATAATTCTAATTGAGCCCAGTTTTTTTGAAATGCAGTTCTACTAATGAGAAGATGGTTTTCTCAGAGGGTAACATTTCATTTCATTCAGATCCAGTTAGTGTCTTCCCCCTATCTCAGAATCGGTCACGTGTGAATGCTGACCTGGAATGGATTTTATGTACCATATTTCCCCATGTATAAGATGCACCCTTTTTTGAAAAATTTGAGATCTAAAAACTGGGTGCGTCTTATACAGTGGTTTTAGATTTTTTTTTTTTACTTGCATTTCCCGCTTTTTCACACTTGTTGTCTTTGCGCTCATTGTTTCGCACTTGTTACCGGTATATTACGGTAGGTTACGTTTTGCCAC